TGACGAAAGGTGAGAGTAATCGCGTGCTACATCACATGGGGGAATCGGATCGGGTGTGGGAGGGGCGAAAGGTTAGGTCGCATACCTCTTCCGCCATTTCGTGTTTTCAGCGTAGTCTTGAATGGCCTTGGCGTAATACCTTGGGTGAGGTATAGCTTCCTTTTGATGTTTATGTTACTCAAGATGGTGACACGACATGCTACATTGCGATCAAGTGAAATCGAGGTGTTCGCTTTTGCCTCCCTCGTCGCGGTATTTGATCAAAGTGATACTAACACGATACACACCAGTCTCTATAACATGACGTTCCGTTGTTGAGATGGGGACACAAAAACATGTCTACCTCACACGGTTCCAAGACGGATGGAGGGGGGCATCACCATCTTACATTCCATATCATATTTCAGCCGTGATTCAAAATGAGATGTTTGCCATTAAATCCAGACTCTCTCTCTATTTCACAGGTCATCGCGATGAATAGACGCCTCACCCACACTGTTGACTAGCCAGTGCACTGAGACGCAGCTCATTCGGTACAATCCATTCCATAAACTACCTCTACAACCCCTTTCTAAGAGCGAGTCCGAAGCGTACAGTTCGACTCAAGGTCAGGGTCTTAAAAAGCATCGTCTCAATCACACGAATCGATACCTCACAAGCAGTGCCGACCATGGAGGATAAACATGATGAATAGACGCCTCGCCCGCACTGTTGATAGCTATGGTAGCCAGCCACTGAGACGGAGCGAGCGCTGTGCGAGCTATGAACTCTATACACCACATCGCGTGGAAATGAGTGATTTGGCAGCATACAGTCAGGCACATGGCCAGTCTTGAAGTGTCGCCATTAACCTCAGTTCGAGCGCATGTATCAAAGATAGAACTAGATAAGAGGGCGGGACTTGAATATGAAATTGTAAAAGCGGCCGTCATTGCTGAATATCATCATATGTATCTCTCTATCATGACATATCTCCCAGCACCGCTTTCGCTAGTCATCGCTTTCCCAAACTAATCATCCCAGATGTGAACTCATAAATATCAGAAAGATTCCATCCCAGCGGCGTCGCACCGTCTCATCGTATCAAGAAACCTGTAACGCCGCGAGATCAAAACCGCTTAAAACATCGCCAAACATTTATCAAATCAAGCAAGTAGCCTCCCAAAAAGAATATCTCAAACATTCAATCCAAACACATGATACCGGGAAACAAGTCCCGAGTCAAAGCACAACGGCAAAGGCTTCACCTTCTGTAGCTGTAGTCGTTGTACTCTCTCTCCCTCCTCCGGTCGGAGATGGTAACCCTCATCCTCTCCTCTTCAGGTGGCGGGGGCGGCGGCAGCATCCTGGGCGGCGAGTACCTCCGGCCCTCGACGTACCGGAAGGTCTCGTACCGTGGCTCGACGGGGACGGGAACGGGGTACGGCACCCGGACGGGGACGAGCTTCTCCCGCTCAACGTACACCTCTCTGATATCCCTCTCCCTGTCACGGCTGCCTCTCCGCGAGTGGCTGTGGCTCCTCGAGCGGCTGCTCCTGCTCGACTTGCTGCTCTTCACCGAAGGCTCGACATCTACTGCGATGACCTCGATGGGGGGTAGGGGCTCCGGAACGACAACGGGCGGCGGCGGCGGCGGAGGTGGGAGTGGCAGAACGACGGGCGGTGGGGGAGGCGGAGGCGGCTTCACAATCACAGGCGGCGGCGGCGCGGGTTTGACAATGACGGGAGGCGGGGTAGGCTCACGGGCCGGGATGAATGTGGTCTTCTTTGTGCGAACGGTGACGGCGCCGTTGGTGGGGGGTTCGAGATAGAGGCGCTTCTTTGCGCCGTGGTGATGGTGGTGGCGGTGGTGGTGGTGATACTCGTAGTATTCCTTTGACGAGGCTGTACGATGCATGGTCAGTCATTTGTGCTCATGTAAACCTGGCGCGAACGTTGCGACAACGTTGACGTCAGGTATTTTTTGGGGCTTACTCGTACCCATTTTGGACGGCTGGATTCGTGCCAAGGGGATTTTGAACGTATAGATGTTTGTAACTGTGCGCCTTTTCGGTGGCCTACACTTTTTTCGGTGCGAGTGTCGCGATGCCGAGAGGTCAAGTTGGTTGGGGTTTGGCTATTTTGGGTTGGTTTAGAGTTGCGGGCGGGCGGGTAGACGCAGGATGCGTCGTGAACCCGAGGATGGGATGAGGCGTTGTGCGTGTTGCGTGTTGCGCGTTGCAATCCGAGGGATGTGCGTGATGCGATATGCGGGAATGCGATCCGCTAGAATACCGTTTTTTTTTTTTTTTTGGCGGCCAAAGGGATGTGCAGAGCGCAAAAACTGGGTGAGGGGAAATCAGATGTTGATCACCTGGCGCGGGGTGGGCTGGCCTTTTTCTCTACCTAGGGTTGGTAGGTACAAAAGGAAGCCAGTGGCGATCGAACGGGTGGGAGAGCAGAAAGCGTTGGAGCTAAGTAAAGGTGTCGCAGTGTCAAATGTCGGTAAGCCAGCGGCGGCGGCGGCGGGTTCTAGTTATGGTTGTGGTTGTGGTTGTGGTGGGAATGAGAAGAACAGGACCGAACCCTTTCGTCTGGAGTGTTGGTGGGCGGGAGATGCGCTATTCATATAACACTCATCCCACACCACCGAGGGGAATACCAACAGCGAAGGAGTCTAGGCTTTTTGGCTCGGCTACAAGGAAGGTATGCACGGGGGTGGGAAGGAAGGGGAAGGGAAGGGGACGGGGGAGTTGGCAGATGGCAGGTTGAATCAAGGTCCTCCTCGCTTCCGCAGAAGGGGGGGGGGGAGGGGTGACTGGGCCTGCCTACCTGCCTGCTCGTCTGGTAGTTGCCCCTCCTTCCGCAAACCAACTAATGGGAAAACACCAAGAAATTGGCCTGTGAGAGAGAGAGAGAGTTGCGCTGCGGTATTATCATGCACCACCTCTCACCCTTCTCAGATTGGGTGTGTGTGTGTGTGTGTGTGTGTGTGTCAGCCCAAGGTCAAAATCTCCCACTGCCCAGCGGGAAGGGGATATCCACGCAGGCCAGGCTGCCTTGCATCTTTCCCCTTCAACTCCGTCCACTCGGGCTCAGCTATCCGTACCAAGCCACAACCAAGCCAGAGAAGAAAACCCGCCTAACAAGCACATGGACGACGAAGCTACGAATTGCACTACAGCACTCCGTAAAAGCCCACAGCAGATCCGGGACGGGAGCGCCGAGATGCCAGATGGACGCACGTACGGGCACGCAAGAGTGGGTGTGAGCATGCACGGGTATGGAGAACTATTGACCCAAAGACTCCCGTGTCGAGACTTGAGAAAGTGTGTGAGAGAGAGAGGCGCACGCAGAACACAGCCTGGACGGGTCTTGCCTGACATGCAGATGGATACAGAGGACACCCATTCATTGGGTAAAATGGTATTTAAAGCCAAGGTATCTAACATGTACTGTGCAGCAACAACTCCAATTCCAAAAATCCAGATGGACCACCTCATGCAATTCCAACCTTGGTTTCTGCGCCAGCGTCAAGTTCAACCCAACCAAAACATCCCTTCCTTTCCGCTACCTTCCCTCCTCTTTCCTGTTCCTTAGTACCGTACCACAGACGCGCCTGCCATGGGAAGTTCTCCCGCCCTCCGTCCTCTGGTCTGGGAGGGGAGGTGGGAGGCTGTCACCTGGCACCTTCCTTCCCATCGTGTGGCAGACAAGGGTGCGCCATTGGGCAATTGAGACCTTATGACGCCAGCGGGCACGTCACGCCAAAAAATTGGGAAAATCAAGTTAGAATTCCGAGGCGGTCGACCATCGGTACGTACTCTGGTACTCAGCACACATTGACCAGGGCCACTGGGCACGCGGCAGGTCCCCCCCTCCGGCCCTTCCCACCAGCTAACCCTCTTCTCGGCCTCGGCCCCAAGTTCCCAACCACTCAGATGCTCAGAACAGAGAGAATAGAGAGCTTTCTCTTCAAACCTTCCAAAGAGCTAAGCTGTGCGCGACATGCTCCCTCCTTGATCACAAAGCGCCGCACCAGCAAATACCAAAAGAGAAGGGGCAGAGCTTCCAAACCACTCATTCGCCCAAAACACCATAGCCGCCCTGCATTTTTAGCTGCACTCTGAGCGCTCTGCACTGCTCGACTACGTCCGGCACCTGGTCCTGTCCGTCCGACGGAAAATTGAAAATTCCAAGGATGTTATCGTAACTGTCGTGTCGTCGTGCACCACTTCCTCTGTGCCCATCCCTCCAAGGCCCGCGCACCGATCCCAACAGGCTGGGGATGCCAGGCCACAACCGGGGAATCTTCCAAAACGCTTCCATCCTTTGAGTTCTTCCCCCCATCTCGGCCATATCTGGGCCATCTGGGGCCACCCCTGATCGTGGGGTTTGCAGGGCTGAGCTTGTCAGATTGGGTTCTGTGTGTGTGTGAGCTGGCAGTCGCACGTCTCCGCTCCATTTCCTTCTCGTCCCAACCTTCTTTTTTCTTCCCTCGCCCAAGCGTAGCGTCTGTGTCCGGCGCTGTTCGTTGGGCTGCAAAAGAGGCAATATTCTCTCTGTCTACCTTGGTACCTACCTTCCTCTCTGCATGAAAAGAGAGCATCTTTCGATACGGTATGCCGGTAGACAAGTAGCGGAAGGGCTAGCTGGCCTCAAATCTCCGTTGGGCGCCCATCCCACGATGCCAAGCCGATGAACCAACACCCATCCCCAATCCATCGATCGTCTCCATCCTGCCGGCGCAAGACTGGCAGCCCAATCTTTTGACGTGCCTTGGGTGGCTGTGTTTGGTGATTCGTGAAGCAGCCGGCAGTCGAAAGTCGTAAATCTAGGCCCAGCCACTTCCGCAAAGAAGACCCTTGCATCCAGGGTCCTGGCTCCGGCTCGGCTGCCCCCGAGCTTCCTGGCTTCGATCCAAGGCAGTTGCACTTGTCAGACCAGGGCCGTCATGTAGTGTACAGTGAGTGGTGGTGTCGTGCTGTCGCCAGAAGTTCCGCGGTATGCGTCCTGCAAACTCACGTCCGTTGGCTTCGTCGTCTGTCCAGCCGCCTCGTGAAGCTCTGCTTGGCCGACATTGGCCGACTATACACGGTCCGCGGAGCATTGATGACCTCGATACCGGCATGCTGCTGGTAACCAGGCTTCTCGGACATGTCCCCGCCACCATACGATGAAGCTGGAAACTTCGGGCCCAGTCTGTCGTCGCCTCGTACTTTCCTGAGCACCCAGTCGACGAGGTGTCCCATCTCGCCCATCCACCACAGACCCAGCACAATCGTCAGGATGGTGACGGGTATCGCGGTGGCCCAGTACAACCACTGCCCGGCCTCCATGTCTCGGATATCGCTAGAGTTCATCCCGAAGACGCTCGAGACGGCGCTCAGAGGCAAAAAGATAATGGTCACAATAGTAAAGGCATAAATCGCCTGCTCTTGTCGGTCCTTGGTGACCGCGGCATTGTTGAGGTTCTAGTTCAACCCGTTAGCGTCCCCATCCCAGAATCTAACATGTCACAAGCGGTCTCGAACAACTACTCACCGTCTGTTCCAAAACGTCAGCCTGTTCGGCATACTCTTCAAAGTCCCTGCTCCGCCGCTCCAGGAGCTGCGTACATTCCGCCGCCAGGAGATCCCTGAAGCCGGCCGCGTCCGTGGACGGAAGCTTGTAAAAGTCGGACACCTCTGCACTGGCAGCCATGACCATGGGCTCCAACAGCACCTGCACGTCTTCGTCATCGGCGGCGCCATGTCTGCCGCTGCTTCTGCCCATCCGCAAATGAGACTTGAGAGAAGCAGCTTCGCGGTAGTTGGCTGCGGCGACCTGAGTTCGAGCCGAACGGTGAAGCTTCACCGCCCGGGATGAACCTTCTTGACGAGAGGCTAAGATAGAGCTAAAGACGTTGTTTTGCGCTGCAATTATGCGGTTAATCACGTTTACTTCCTGCCGTAGAAAGTTGATTCGCTGCTGGTAAGAAATATCCGACTGCCCGTTTGCAATCTCGTTTTCCTGCCCGCAATGTCAGTGCATGATACAAAAGCAAAGAGTCCACAAAGCACAAGTCACTTCAAACTTACCAATGATCTGAGATACTCTGAATAAGTGTCTGTAATTCCCGCATACTTTCCAGACGTATTGGACAAGAGGCCGTAGCTGATCAGAGACACCACCTCGAGCGGGAGGACGGAAGACCGTTCCAGCAGGTTAAGGCTCGACAGCCGTTCCATCATGTGCTTCATGCCGTTCTTGACCAGAGTCTCCGCCACTTCCAGGTGGTCCTCCCACATGTGCGTTTCGTGACTCGCGTAGATCAGGCCCATAACCAGATGAAGCCAGGCTCGGATCAGCTCCAGCGGAACGTCGATATCCACCCGGTCCGTGGGTTCAGCGTGGGACAGGATGCTCTTGAAGGCAATGACCGGGAGGGCCATTTGGCGCAGTGCTTTTCTGACCGTTGGGGCGTTTGCGTAGACGGCTTCGCGACGTGTCTTGTCGAGGTTGTTCGGATGAGACTCAACCTCGGTGGCCTCGGGCTGAGGAATCTGAAGGCTATTAGCATCTAGTACGGGCTTATGAGACCAATAATAGACTTACTCTGACCAAGTTCATCACCGCACCCCAGAACCTCTCCGTCGTCGGTCCATCAAACAAGGGAGGCAAGAAGAACCGGAACAAAGAGTCAGCCGCATTGAAAATGTCAACACGCTCCTCATAATCTTGCTTCTTCCATGACTTCTTCGTGTCCTGCATCCGCGCCCCCTGCTGCTCGAGGTACTCAAACACTTCATTTCTCGTCGACATTTCAGCCTCCAGGTACGCCCGCCGGTCCGGCCCGTTGGTCTCGACCGTCAGGAACTCCTCGACTTCGGACAGCTGTTTCTGAAGGACGATGAAATTAGGACCCTCCATTGGGCTGGGCGGTCTTGCTTCAGCCCAGCTGAATACGTGGAACATCTCGTTGGTCTTGTTGGACTGTCCCGGCGGGAAGCTCATCCGGTTTCCAGCTGATGATCTGGGCAGCTGTAGGACACCGGACGATTGCCCAGCGTTGCAGCTCAGGCCTGATTTGATGGGTCTCAAAATGCCGCTTGGCGGTAGTTGTGGTGGTGTGCTACAAGTTCATCAATATGGGTCTCTTATAGAAGCGAACTCATGCAGACTTACCATGTTTCCATACTAATCACGACATTCCTACGTGAAGTCCTGGCGAATTGAAGCACCTTCCACCAGCGCGCTTCTGTCAACAGACGACCGTTGAAGTGGAAACGAACCGCCTTTGGCCAGAAATCGGCAAAGTGCGCAATAAACGCGAACCAGGTCCGGCACTCCTCGAGGGGAAACGACCACATCACCGACTCGCCGTGCTGGATAAGTATGCGCCCCGTATCCGCGCCCAAAGCAGTATCTCTCGCCGGCTCAGAAGTCATCGTGACAGTCTCGCCCCGCAGGGATTCTTCGTACATGGAACCGCAGGTGATAAGCAGCGAGTTATCCAGGACAATACACCACAGCTGTCGAATGTGGAAACACGTGTCTTTCCCTCCATTGCCAATCTGCCGTGTCGCCTGAAGCATATCTCGTTTCTGCGAGTTCCTCGAGAACGCTAGCTGCAGCAGCGTTAGGGGTGGGTAGGCTCCTGGATTCCCCGTGGCCAGGATTCCAGAGTACTCCTCGAGTGAAAAGTACGGGATGCAGAGCCAAGTCACGGAACGCTTTCCTGTCGCTGAGCCTTTGGCTTGGTCGCCTCCACGTTGGAGGGGTAGTTCTAGGTGGCTGGGCTCCATGTGCTTGACCGTCGTGTCGCGAGAGGTGCGGATGGTCTTGGAATAGTTTTTCCTCACATCGGAGAGGAGCTTGCGGACGTCGTTTTGCTCCGACTCTGAGAGTGCGCGAGAAATCTCACTCTGCTCAAGAGTTAGTGTTTGTCTACCGAGAACAGTAGTTTGAGAAATGGAGGCTTACAGTGAACTCGTCAAAGTTCATCATGTCTTGTTGTACATGCCTATCAAACGATCAGCAACCTGACAACACCCAAAGACACGTACCACTTACAGCCATCTAAACAGCGATTGTCGTCTCCTCTTGGTGTCATAGACGACATCCAAAGCAGCAGAATGTACACCGCCCAGGACGCCCTCGCCAGTGTACATTGACTGATACACATGAAGCGCCCTACTCAACGGCGGCTCCTCCCCTCTCAAAGTAGAATCATCCGAGAACGGGATATCTAAATCAGACCCGTCATCGTCTCTAGCCGGGTCAGACGACGAGCGCGCCGGGTCAAAGGCATACACCTTGCCCGACGTCTCCTCCAAGTCGACCCAGTCTTCAACCTCCTCGACAGGAGTGAGGTACTCCTGGCCCGTAAAGTCTGGCGGCATCGGGAATCCGTCCAGGTCGAAGCTCTGCTCGTCCGACTCCGTCTCCTCGTTGGCGATGATGGATGGCACGGGCACAGGTTCGGGTTCTTCTGGCGGTGTCTGCTGCCTCGTCTGCATCTGCGCCTCTTCTGGTATCGCCGCAGGGAAGATGATGTTCTGGTGCTGGGTGGCGATGTTGTTGGGCATGTCATACACTACAGGAGTGGAAAGCGGCGTCTTGGCCCGTCTCCTGGGAGCATACGACTCCAACGGTGATGCAAAGCGCTCCAGTGGTGATGTGAGCCTCTCCAAAGGTGACTGAAATCGCACAAATGGCGAAATGACTCTCCGGCTCCTCTGACTCCGTTGACTCCCCTGCCGTCCCGGGGCTCTGGGTGGTGGGGTGGGCGGCACGGGCTCGTAGATGGGATCCCCCTTGCGAAACTCCTCAATCAGCTGCACAAGGTGCGCCGTCTGGGCTTCTCTGCTGCTGTACTGGCTCCTGAGGCTCTGGGCTGAGGCTCTGCTGCTGTTGCTGTAGGGGAAGAGGGACTGGCCTCCTCGTCGGCGAGGTTGGGTTGAAGGTTCGTACTGTGACATCGTGAAGGTTTCCCTCGCAATAGCCGGGTATAATACTGTGGGTGGCCTTGCTGTTTCTGTGCCGTAGCACCGTGTAAAGTCTGCCGTGTCGTTTGGTGTAAGTGCCGTTTGGTGGGTTTTCCCTAGGATCCTGGTATTAATCGAGTGGTGATAATAATTTTTCCTTCTCCAAACGGCAAGGTGGTATTGGATATCCTTTAATTATCGATAGATTGCAAAGTAAGCGAACGCCTCTTTAGATCGGCGGCGCCCCCGAAACCAAGATGCACCATTTATTAAATAGAATGCTTGCAATGACTACCTAGTAACAGCAAATCACCATGGCAAAATGCAACCTACCCAGCCTGGCCGAAAAACCACCAGCCACCCGGTATCGCAAGTGAGGGGAGGCAGGGCAGGGCCGACACTAACACGGGGCCCGCAAGCGCCGTTGCCCATCACCTCAGTTACTGCCGTTACTGCCATGGCGCCAGTCTGAGCGCTGGGCTGCTGGTAGCATTTTGTGCCTTGTAGGGGGATACCACGGCAGGTACAGAGGGCCGTGAGCCTGTGAAGGGCCAAGCAAACGCCAGGAACCGTCAACCATTGCAGGTTCCCACCTACGCCGCACAGAGGATGGAGACGGTAGAACACGTTAGCGGCGGTGGTTCCTGCCCCCGCCATCTTCAGCGGTGAAGACACGGGCCCGGGAGGCCCCAGCTTGCAAAATGAGCCTAATTGGCACTAAACGTGCTGGGCCCAGCCACTGCCGGGGCGACGGTGCAGGTGGCTTCCCTGTGGCTCAGATTGAACCTCATCTCACTCTTCACTCAGTATCACATTCTTCACAGCATAGATTTTCACTTCCACGTCACGTCATGGGCCGCTGTATCTTGTGCTCAGACCTCTTGTTATTGGTTGTTTCTCCTGAAGACGAGAGTGTCCGAGTTCTTTTCATGCATACGAGTATCCGTAAACCGTGGATCCTTGACTCCAGACTCGTAAACCAGGGGATATCGTGAAGTGAACCTGTCCTAGAACCGAAAACCAATGGGTATCTTCTTTTCCATAACCGTAACCGTAACCATAACCGTGGCTGATCATGCCAAAAGACAAAAGTGAAAGCGAAACAAGCGAGCAAAATCATCAGTCCACGGTGTCCACCAGTAAATGGGTACCTCCTCTGAAGTTCCGTCCCATCCACACACCTCAAAACATGAACACCGCGATAGAAGAAGAAAAAGAAAAAGTCGACAGGTGCCTGAGGATTCATGTCTTTTCGTTCATTTGCGTGGAGGTTCGGTCCAGAAGGTCCAATCTGCGAGATGGTTTGAGCAAATCAAGTTATCTGTCCGTGTACTAGTCCCTGCCGCGGGGGCACAAGCAAAGTCGAAAGCCGCAATGACGAATAGTCGTATTCGTTACAAGCAAGAGAATCGGCTGTTGATACTGAGAGACGAAAAGTCCGCGTTCGCGTTGCCAAAATGAAGTGATCCGACTTGAAGCACGGTAGCGAGAATGACGATATCCCAAGTGAATCTCAAAAATCGATGAGTATCCAGTGAAGGCAAGAAAGAGCTGTATCATCCAGATGGATGTGAATTCAAAGCTCGGTGCTTAGTCGGTAGAGACTGCCATCTTAGCCAGTGAACGGGTAGCCGGGATTGATACCACAGCCAGAAAGACGGCGGCACATCTCATCAACGGACTCCTGGTAAAACGGGACCATTGCAGGCCCAGACAAGTCAGGACGCGAAGAAGGACCAGCAGGGTCAATAGGCTCTTCGTAGAAGAAGCGGCTCTCGTCAGTCTTCTCCTCAACCCACTCCATGTTCTTGTCAAAGATCTTGGGGAAGTCGGGAAGCAGACCCTCGTAGTAGAGCTCCTCCCATTCGGAGCGCCAGGGGAACGGAAGGCCCTCCCAGAGACTCTGACTCAGCGTCTTGAAGGTAGGCTGACGGCGCAAGAAGGGAAGCACGACAGTTGCCAACTTGGCAAAAGCCACCTTCATGGGCTTGAGTTCCTCGTTGAGGGGGTTGTCGAGGTATAGATGGACAAGTGCCATCCGGAAGGGAACCTCGAATCCAGCCATCTTGTTGAAGTCTTTGATCTGGTAGTAGAAGTACCGGCCGCTGAACGCGACGCGGTACATCTCGTACGCCTCCTCCATGTTGTCAAGCTGGCTCTTGAGCATTGACGAGACGCCGAAGCGATATGCCGGGCCATAGAACATGATGTTGTTGATGAGAGGTCGGGTGTCCCAGATACAGTCCCGGTTCGCTCGGTGGCCGGGTAGATCTTCCAGTATTCAAATTAGAGAGGAATTGACTTATGCAGTCCCTATAATTACTCACCACCATTGTAGATGAAGAAGATGACCGGGCTGAGGTACGCCATCGCGCAGTCGCTCAGGTCGAGGTGGGTCTTGCCGTCCTGTTCATCAACCGAAAAATAAGAAAATGACAATCGTTCATCGAACCGGAAAGTAAACTTACCTCATCGGCAGGGGGAAGGAGCTCCGCCAACTTGGTGGCCTCGGAGGTAACGATGTCGCGATGACATCCGATCATCGTGCCCTCACGGACATGAAGGAACAAGGTATGGGTCTCCCTCTTCAGAAGGAGCCTAGAGTAGGAAGAAGAGAGAGAAGTCAGTAATTTTATTTTATGTTTTCTGCGTCGCGCGATGAGCCTCAGACTTACCCAGCGCGGTGGTCTCGCTCAAGCGAGGCGATCATGGCTCTTCTGAGCGCCTCGTCCTTAGCCGAAGCCTCGGACGAGGCGACAGTCACCTCTTCATCATCCGGGGTCAGGATTGCCGGTCCCTTCCCCCTGTCTTCCTTCTCCTCGTCCGCCGGGAGAGGAACGTTGGCCGCGTCGATGGCGGCAGGATCAGCAGCCACTCCAGGAGCTGCGGTTGAAGACGATCCGACCACCGAAATGGCCGGGATCTCCGGTAGCAGCCACTGACGAGCTGCGTCCTCCGCCGCCTTCTTCGCAGCGAGCTTCTCCTGTCGCTTCTGGTTGACCATCTCGGCGGTGTCGTCGGCGATGGCGGAGATGGTGGTGGTATCACGCTTGAGGATCGTGATAGTTGGAGGAGAAGAGGAAGATGGGTAGTTGCTCCCCCTCAAAAGGGAAGAGGCAACACCAAATTCCTCCGCTCCTCCCACCACCGAGACGGGGTCAGAAGGGGAAGAAGGGCAAGGGCTTTCAGCCCGTGAGGCTATGATGTTCTGCCCCTCCCCCTCCTTCACCTCCTCCCCTGTGTATCCCGTGAGGAATGGGAAGTCGGCGGCAGAGAGTGGAGAGGGGGCCGGGTGGGAGGATTGCTGGTTGACCACGACCTCCTGGCGTAGAGGACCGGGCTTGAGCGTTGTGCCCGTGGTGGCGATCTGGGCCCATGAGCGAGGGGCCATTGTGGTGGTGGGGATGGTGACTATTTGTGAAAAGCGCGCAAAGGCTAAAGCAACTATATAAGCATCAATCATCTGAAGATCAGGCGAGATAGAAATCTGGGATCAAAGTCTTACCGGCATAAAATGTGATGGATGATGGCGGTGATGTTGTTGCGCACAAGAAAAAAATAAAAGACCAAACAGAGGTGAAAGAAAAAGAGAAAGGGAAAGTGCTCAGGGTCAAGAAAATCCCTTTTTTGGCCAACAGCCCCAGACTGCAATGAAGCAGAAGGTGTCTCCTCTCACACCGCCCATGAGGTCGCTTGGTAGCGCTTTGGGAGTATTCAGGGAATGATGAGGTGTGTATTCCAGTGTTGGCTATTCATCCTTCACTTCATCTCACTCTGGTGTTCAGTCGAGGCACCAGTGAGATGAGTCGCACCTACCTGAAGATATGTAAGCAGAAAAACACAGATGTTCTGAAGAGAATCAAAGATAGCCGAGATCGGATTTGTTACAAGGAACAGTTGTTCTCTTGAGCTGACAAGAGGTTGCTTGCACCCGAGCAGTTTCTTTCTCCTCGAAGATCTCCATCTCAAGATCATCCAAATCCGTATAGAATGTGTCGAAGCCTGATAATATGTCATGATCCAGGGTCCTATTCAACAGGCAATCGATCATGGGGAGGAACTTGGCCCTCTTATCTCCCAAGGGGCATGATGCAGACAGAAGTGTTGCTGAAAGCTGGGCCACTAGGCAGCAATATGGCACAAGAGAAAAGTCGTTGAAGATTTCCCTTTATCGAACAAAGGCTTGGAGTCGTTCGTGGCTGTTTGTTTGTGCATGACATGTATGTCTGAGGCCTTTGTCAATTTGGGGTGGCACTCTAATTGTTGGTTCTGTGGGATACTCAAAGACTAAACACAAGCAAAGAACAAGTGCTGAACATATATCCTACGCAAATCAATAACTTCTAATTGCTTGCATGAGGCTAACTCAAGTCGCTTTCGTTCCCGCTGCAAGGGGGAATTCTCCGATCATGCTGAGGCGCGAAGAATATTCCACGACTGTGTCAACACTCAAAGACAGCGATGTTTCCTTCTGTCCATTTGACGACCATCATGACTTCCATTGTAAAACCAATGGGAAGATTGAGTGGAACGAGATATCGAGGACCGGCTGGGAATGGATTGATGGGGGATAAACGTCATTAAGGCCAAACCGACGTTGAGCAAGATGCCATGTCGTTGATCATCTTACATAAGCGGCCATTTGAAGGACATTGACGCACATTGTCCGGCCGAAACCGAAGTACCTTACGTACCTACTCCGTAGGTGCCTTAATGCAGGTCCACTTCCCGCCCGTTCTCTGCCGCAGCGTACAACATCTCAAGACCGTAAGAATGCAAAGCTCGCGGGCCCAAAATCTCTGGGGCATAGGCGATATAAGGTGAAAGTTGACAATGGAACTAACCGACCCGCCCTGATCTCGTCCTAAACTCGAGTCGTGCTAGCTGTCAATTGAGTTTCGTGCCACAGTCCTCCAACGGCCCGCCAATCTCCACGGGATTCGATTCCGTCACCACTGAATGCCCCTCCCGCGCGCGGTGCCTTGAAGTGGGGGGGCCGCTGACGGATTGCAGCTCTCTCCATGAGCCGAAAGCTTCGGCCACAGGTTTCCTCATTTGAATAAATGGGGAACGCGGCATCATCACCAGGTCCGAGAAACGTAGCTTCAGCCCCTAGCCTTCGACCATGATTAAAGGAGTCATAGAACCCAGCAACATGCCATTTTCATTCGAAATGTATCGACGTATAAGTAAGACGAGACGAACGACTACATCAATTACCTGAAGCCAAAACCTTTCAATTCTCCCAAAAGTCCACTTACACGAACCATCATCTCATACTACACCGGTGTATCAAAAATGAGCTCCGCACAAGGCAACAGAGCCCTCTGGCTCTCATCCTACTCCAAACCCCTCGAGGTAATCGACCTCCCCATCCCCGACGCTCCCACAGGCACAGTCGTCGTCAAGATCCTCGCGGCGCCCATCGTGCCCTACACGCACCTCGCCCACACTGGCAAGCTCCCGCAGCTCAACGTCCACCCGCCCTTCGTCCCGAACCCCAACGCCATCGGCCGCGTCCACGCCGTCGGCCCCGACGCCGTGCGCGTCAAGCCGGGTGACCTCGTCTATATTGACGCCACCACCCGCGGCCGCGACGACCCTGTCAACGTCATGGTTATGATCGGTCACCTCGGTGGTGTGGGCGACGCCGGGCAGAAGTTGATGAAGGAATGGCGTGATGGCTCGCTGCAGCAGTACCAAAAGGTCCCTCTGGAGAACGTCTACCCTCTCGACGAGAAGCGTCTCATCGGTGAACTTGGCTACGACTTTGCGGCGCTGAGCTCTATCGCTCATTACTCCGTCGCCGCGGGAGCTCTCCTCGAGGCAGCGGACATCAAAGTAGCAGAGACCGTAGTCATCGGTCCCTCAGGCGGCTCCTTTGGCGGTCTAGCTGTCGAAGTCGCCCTCACCGTCGGCGCAAATGTCATCGCCCTGGGCCGAAGCGAATCCAAGCTCGCAGCAATGCGCACCAAGCTCGGCGACAACCCGCGCCTCAAGACGGTAATCATGACGGGCGACGCCAACATCGATGCGCAGGCGATTATGGCGGCCACGCCCAACGGGGCCGGAGCGGACGTCTTCAACGACTGGACGCCGGGCGAGCTCAAGAACCCGCCGTACCTCGAGGCCGCTGTGCGCACGCTGAAGCGCGAGGGGAGGGTGATCCTCAGCGGCGGCGCGAGCGAGACGCTGACGATACCGTATGCCGTGTTTGGGCTCAAGAATCTAAAGTTGATTGGCAAGTGGATGTGTGAGCGGCCGACGCTGTTGCAGCTGGTTCGCATGGTTGAGGGAGGCCAGCTGAGGATCGGGAGGGAGAGCGGGGCGGAGATCAAGGTGTTTTCTTTGGATGAGCATCATGAGGCGACGGAGTTTGCGAGGGATAATGGTGGATGGAGGAACTATACTGTCATTGCTCCCAACGTGGAGTGAAGCTTATGATCGTCACCCTGCTTCGTTCTGTGGACCACTATTTCGGATCGTTTAGAATAGCCAACCTCTCAATTCATACTCAATGTATCGTTTTCAGGAGAGGAAGAAAAGACTTATTGATAAGGTAGACCCTAGATGATCTTCGATAAAACTTCCGATGTCATGACATGAACTGGCTCTTGGCTTCTTGAATAGGTACCGCGTAATTCGTGCAGATAAGGCACATCCGTCACTAACAAGGCTTCACCACTCGCTTGTCTCCAAGACCGGGGGATTTCATAAATGTCTGCCCAGTAGGATACCTAGACCATCTCAGTCCTTACAAAAAACCCCGGCCGTCAGCAAGGCACTGGACGTGACAGGATTGGACAATTGCAAGGCGTCAATCCCGTCTCTTCATGATTGGTCAACCATCCCCGGTCTGTTTGTCAATGGGTTGGAATGTCTTCCCCCACGCGCGGACGTTGCGGCCACTTGCATGTAGGGTTTCAGTTTAACCGGCGTGACCGACTTGTTCTTCATGTTGGAAGTGCTGGAGATAAGACGAATTGAAAGTGCGGCTCATCGATTCTGCATGAGTTTACACAAACCCGTTGCTTTCGTTTCTTCACCTCCTATCGTGTCGGTTTATGATGGTGTTCTCGTAAATTCGGTACAGGCGATCAAGTGTAGATAGATACCTGTCTTCCATCCGCTTGTCTCTCATGTTAGTGCATGTGCGGCAAGGTCCTCAACGTGACCTCCCTGTTAGGATTTCACCCTACACCTAGCTTCATGGCATCGCCGAACCTTGAGTTCCCATACACATACAAGTAATCTATGATGAATGTATCTACGGACACAGCCCGTAACGTCAACTTGTTACTCATCATATCTCAATAAGAGTGAGGTGAGATTCAACCGAACTGAAGGTCAGTGCATTGGCCGCGGGAAGTGAGATTGAGCCCGTACCTAGTGATGGCTCCCGGCCGGTCACTAACGCGTGTACCTGGGTGAAGATCCCTGCTCCCGCTCCAGCGTGACAAGGAGAGGGGCAGTTCCTTGAGGGGCCTTACTGGGCTGCCACGCTGCCTGAGGTAGGTGGACTTGGGGTGCAGGAACGTTGGCCCGCACCTGCTGAATCACTGGTGCCTCGGAAAATAGAGGTACCTAAGTATCAAGGTACCGTCACAAAGGTCCCCGCCAGTGCCTCTGAACCTTCTAAATTGGGCGGGAGGAAGGGGCGAACCACAGGAAGCGATCCTTCCTTCCCCAACTAGCCAACCGAAGGGTGGCAAGCACCTTAATTCCAACCTTAGGTAACCTCGCTGGATATCTCCCACACTCATCTCGCCTTTTTTCAACTACATCTCTTTCCCAGGCCGACCGTCGTGGGCTTTTTGGACGGCAAAACGTCCAGTCTCCGCCTCACGACAACGGAAGGGACAAGGAGACGACGGTCTGCTGACTTTTGGCAATTACTACTGCACTACTGCGGCATCTCGTTCACCAACCACGCACGCGACACGGCCCCGATTCTCATAGCCCAGAATCCGTCATATTGCGACGTTGTTCACTGGCCTTGGCACAACTTGCATTCACTTGCTACATCATCGGTATCGCATGAGCATCTTAGTTTGCTATCGCTACAGAGGCCACCCATCAAAACAGCTCATTCCTCTTCATTACTTTGGTAAGCAACATATCTTGGCTCGGCCTCTTCGGACCCCGTTTGCTCATCTCATCTCAGTAGCTGAAACTCATCATGGCGGACAATACCTCCACCCCCGCCGACCCGATGGCCGCAGCCTCAAATGCCATGATGGCCTCCATTCAGGACTACATTCGCACCGCCGTCACCACAGAGGTTGCAAATCTCCCGAATGCATCCCAGCCCGCCCAGCTGGCAGCCCTTCAGAGTCGTCTCGAGACTGCCAATCAGGAGAACTCTGAATTGAAGGACAAGATCAAGCAGATTGAGAGTAAGAAGTCCACTCGCCACAGTCACAAGCGCACGTTCTTTCTTCTTTCCTTTATCTTCAGCACAGCGCTGACATCGATCAAGCAGGCGAGCGAGACACCGTTAAGGCGGCCTTCTCCTCTTACCTGGGCTTTCCCCTTCCAGACTCGAAGCTTTCCCGTCATTCCCACAGCAAGAGCAGCAAGTTTCCCCAGTTCCAGAAGTTCCCTGTCGAGATCCGCATGAAAATATGGAAGCTTGCTCTCCCTGCCGGACGCATTTTTGACCTCTCCAACGTCGATGCCCACTTCTCTCGTGTTCTCCGAGCCCCCATTGCCGCCAACAACGGCGCGCCTAACCCGGCCTTGGTCCTACGCCAGGCCTCGGGCCTCACTGAGATGAGTGTGACTGCCCACAAGACGCCCAAGCTCCGACTCGCTTGCAAGGAGGCCAATAAGGCATTTCTCGAGGCTGGTGGCTTCGAGTTCGGCTTGTTTGGCGGCCCATACAAAGGCCTTTGGTACAACTACTCGGAGGACATACTCTTTGTTCGCGAGGAGCCTCGTACCTGGACTAACCTCGACATGTCACGCATCGTCCGTGTCGCTTTCCCGCATAATAGGTTTATGTGCAAGGCCGACGCTACCGCTAAGATGGACACCATTCTCGATCATTTCACCTCCTGCAAGGAGGTCATCCTCATGCAGACCATGGAGTGGGATATCCGCTCCTGCCTTGCAAGCCCTCGCCTGCCCGCCAAGTTGTTCCCACTGCAGGAGGCCGATCCGATTAGCACCCATGACTACCCGAAGGAGCTCTCCGACGACGTTGGCAGTGTCGCAACCTGGGGCGATGTCAAGCGCATTGTTGCCCAGATCTGGGATGACCACGTTGTCAACGTGAAGCATCTCAGCCCTGTTCGCGTTCCGAAGTTCTCCGGTATCGAGGTCCTTAAAGCTCGCCCGAGCTACTTTGACTAGAGGACAAGATAGAGAAGGTAGCTTGGATGCTTTTCGGGTTGGTCCTTGATGATTCACGCAGGATTTGACATGTACCATATTCCGGTACACTTTCCATTGGGAGAAGGGGCGTTTGGTTTGGTTTCTTCATCGTATGATAGCTAGTAAAGTACCAATTGATATCCACAGGGTCTTCAGAACGTACACTGTTCGTGCCTATCGCCGTTTCCTCCAGCAAACAGACTTGATGAATGAGGTCATGTTGTCCATCTTCTGCAGGCCACGAGCTCTCATACACACACATTCTTTTATAGAGTGACATGGATGCACCATGGAACCTAGCTTTCATTTATCGGCCATGCTCACGCCTCAAAACATCCTGTAGCTAAAGTATGTAGTATTGTCTGAAGAGAGTCTGAGCTAAGACGCACGACTTCTATCTGGTAAAGAACCACCAAAGCCCTAAAACAGTCTTTCAGGGTCCATCCTATCATCCGGTTTTCTGAAGACCTCTACAGCCTCTAGGAGTAAGGGCCCCGTATTCATCCGCGCATACCAAGGCTTGTCTGAGCATTCGAGAATGAGCTTCTCTCTCGTCTGCAACAACATGCCCTTGACCTCGGCCCAGGCCAGGAACTTCTTCTCCAGCAGCTCCGGAAACAGCTCTGCGAGAAGGTGCGCTACCTGCGGCGTATCGACAATGATATCGTCGTCTCTCATAGCTCTGAAGACTGGAACCGTCGTCGCATATTTGTCAATTTCGACATCTCCTATCTCACACCGCTTGTCTAAGTATAGCGCGACGACAAGGTGACGACAAGCACGGAAGGTTTTGGCCCTAAACCCTTTGTTAAGGAAGATGAAAAGAGCAATTTCAGTGGAAATGTAGATCTTTCTCAAGCCTTTCAACGTTGTGTTGTGCCACTGGTCAAAGGTCGCATAGTAGACTGCGTCCTGCGTCTCGTTGTACCAGAGGCCCCGGATATTGGAATTGTCAAAGTAGCCGAAAGTGAAACGACCAACCGACACACACGCATCGTACGCGTCCTTGCAGACCTCTCTAACACGAGGAGGAGAGTATTCCCGGTAGAAGCGACTCAGATGGTTATTATCTGTCCAGATTACGTCGTCGTTTGGCTCGTAGATCCGTAGCGCGGGGAGGGCTTCGATCCAAATCTTGCGTTTGATCTCAGCAGGAAGCCTCTGGAACTGAGGGAAAGCCATTCTCGAATGCTGTGGTGCCATCTTCTGGGCCTTGGGCTTGTAGTCAGCAACATGATCGATCTTGCGGGAAGCAGAGTCGAATCAGCTTACCGGTGATCTCAACTTAGAAGCTTATGTTGTTTGCGGGGTTGCGATTCGTGAAGCCTGTCGAATTGTGCCATGAGGAAGTCAGCTTTGAGGTGAGAATGTGAACGAAGGCACCAAGACAAACCTTTCCTAGAATCCTGGCTTGAGAAATGTTGACCACTCGGTGCTCTGAAATCGAGACGATGTTTTCTGAAGGGTTGAGAAAGTGGAAAGGGGAAAAGATTCAGCTCACCAGACACGCGTTAGTCGTGTGGGTTGCTGTAGAGAAGAAGAATCTCAGGGAAGGTAATTCCAAAACAGAGGTAGTTTAAGTAAGCCCTCTTTCACTCTTTACGAGGACAAGGCAGGCCCGAGGCAGCAGCAGTTCCTTACTGCTATAGATACCCAGCATCTGTTCCCCATCTTTTTCTTGTTCTGAGATCAGTCACATGACGAAGGTTGTTATCAATCTGAATATACCAACGAAACCAGCAGGTGCACGTATGAGTTTGGCTGTTGGGATACCTTGAAATAAGTAAATTCAGTAACAGATTGTAGGTTCCAAGTAAAACCTTTGACGTTGCAGTATTATTGTAAAGTACTGGAAAGCTAAGGAAACCGTCGCAGACTCTATGAAATCCCTGGGGGGGAGGTCGTCGTGACCTCTTCATCGAGGCTCGAAATTGTAAGAGCGGTAAGATCAACGACGATTCCGACGACCGGCCAAGCCTTCTCTGATGTTTAAGCGGCTGACGTCCTGTCCTCCCCTCCTATGTCAAACTTCCAGCAGAAGGAGCCTCAATCACTCCCAATCAGAGATCGTAAACGAGCACGAATTGAACAAAGAACTTAAACGGCCGCTTGTACTCGCATCATAATGATGCTTTCTATGAGATGATAGCTAAAACTCTGGCAATTATCTAACGTATACTACCATCAGAACCGGAAGACCGCCAGCAGGATGTTTAGAAGCCTCGATGACTCTGGCTCCAAACTCCGACATGGAGCGCATGAACAGAAGGCACCTTGCCATTTGATGCGAGGCGAGCTTGGTATTCTTGTAAGGATCACTTGTCTGGACGAAGGTTCTTGGCGTTTACGGTGGTTTACGCGCCCAGCCTCTTATCTTGAGAATGATCTAGCCGTAAAGAATTACAATTTATGGGAAGAACATCAAGAGGATCACAGTCGGCTCACGTTGATAGCATCAAAACCGGAGTGGGAACTGTTGAATTGATAGCTATAGCCTTCTCCCCCCATAGTACCGTTAGGCAGGGTATTTCCGGCCGTCTATTTATTTAACGAAGGCGATAAAAAAAAGGCGATCGTGGCAAGGCAGAAATGTAAGAGGTCCTTGACTTATGCCCCGTTTGTGTGATATCGTCTGAAATGATAACCTTCCTTCTCGATGCGAGGTTTCCGGAAAACCTCCACAGCACGGAATTTGACATCTCTCGTCTTGGATCCATCCTCGTAGAAGATCTCCTTTAGCTCATCTCTGTGTTCGGCCCAGGTCTTCAGCAGGCCTTCGCCCCAATCTTCCACGTCCACTATCTGAGCGCAGACGCGCTCATCATCCTTGACGGCGTAGAAGACTGGCTCAGTAGCTTCCATTGCCTCCTGAGTCGGTCCTTTATTCTCATTGATGGGAGCTCCGCGGGGCTGATGGGCGATTGTAATGTTGTCGCAGCCATAACAATCGCTCGTGAGCACCTCTCTGCATTCGTTCCGGTCAAGGACGATGGCGTCTCCGATGATGAGGTTTTTCACCTGAAGGTGGTTGAGGTACCAGTACTGCTCAGGACCGGAGAGATAGATGGCATCCAGATCATTGTTGTACCAGATCGATCTCATGGTGCCGTAGCCCAATTCGTCCTCAAAGTGGCCGAAGCGGAATTGGCCAGCCTTCATGCAGTACTCGCGAGCCTCTCTGTTGATTTCTCTGAAATTTGGGGGTGCCCAGTGCTGATAGAACAGAATGTTTCTTGGGTCGTGTTCCTGGTGATTGTAGTATGTGATCGGCTCGTAGATTCTACCAGGCGGGAGGCATAACTGCCAAATCTTGTCCTTCAGCTCGGTGGGTAGTCGATTGAAGTAGCACTGACCGTCTATCTCAATAGTTAAAAAGTCTCCCATTGACGATCGAGGGGATCTTAAATACCTTGACTGCGAGGCTGAGGGGGTTTTTTGGTGTTCTGGATAGACTCAACGACTTTGCTTGCTGCCTTCAAGAGGAGGGTGATTGCGTCCTGACGGAGTTCTTGGTCCTGCTGGCCGTCGGCATGCGTGATTCCGGCTAAGGCCATCAACAGCGAAGAATGCGTGTTTCCGATTGAGAGTTTTTGAGCCTCATCAAGTTTGGAATACACCTTGCTTGCTGTGTTCAGCAGGCTGGCGATGGCGGTCTGTTGTTTGTCGAGCTGCTGGAAGGAAGAGATGATCATGCTGGTGGAATTGAGGATGCTGGAGATTGGATCATCCTCATGTTGGAAAAGCTCGATCTGCTCATCAGGAGCAGTTCGCAAGTTTGATGCCATCTTGGTAGCCCTGGCCTCCGAGTCGAGGTGGTTGATGCGATTTCTTCTACCCACCTCGATGGTAGTGGTTCTGTCGAAATTTGAAGGTCTTGAGAGAAAAGAAATTAGGTCTTGTATCCCTAGACCTGTCTCCTCCGGCCATCTTGAAAAGAAAATTCCGTCTGTGAAGCGGCGGGGCTTTGCTTGGTCGTCAATATGAGTGAGCACGCATGGTGAGAAAGGCCAGTATCAAGCGGGGATAATTGAGGCTTATCCCCTAAATTACAGTTTCTCGTGGCCGTCCGGGCTTTATCAGAAAGCATCAAGGTCGTTACTTGGTAATATTCAGCATGTGAATTGGACCGTAAAGTCTTGTCTGCTACAAGGAGAACGAGGTCAATAGCCTTTGTTGCTATGCGAAGTGGACTACCACTGAGTGTTCCTTCACACTAGGCTAAGACCCTGAGTCTTGACTTCAATCAGACATTGGTTACTTGTGCATATAAAGTAAACTTGAAGGTGACTATTTGGCGTTAGAAAGAGCAAGGTCAGGTATGTGCCTTCCATACGGCGAAACTTTAGCATTGCCCTTTCTTTAACCTATATCTTACCTTCTACACCTTGACATTCACATCCTCCACACTCCCAACTCCCACACTCCCAACTCCCACCCTCGATATATTCTCTCTTACCTTCTTCACTCTTTCCCTCTCACACACTCAGAATCTTCGCCTTCTACAACTGTTGTCCACTACTTACCTTCCACTCTTCCACTTCTTCAACACAACCCTCTCAAGGCGAGCCGGACCCAGGTTTAGTCCCTCAAAATACCAACCGCATACTTCAACCCTCAACCCGAGAGTCAGCCACAAGTCCACAAAGATGGACGAATCGGCGAAGCTCATCAAGAGCTTGGTCAACGGCCTTAAGGCTATCAACAAAGTCCAGGCCCAGCAATCGAAGACCTTCTCTGAGCTTGCAAAGTTGTGCGTCGCAGAAAACGCCTTTGCAGTAGATGTCGCCCGAGTCAAGGATCTCCAAGGTTAGCACTTTCCGTTAAAAAGCAGCATTAGGACTAACCGGGGCAAAATGGCAGTAGATACCCAAGAGACGTTGGCGAGTATCATGAGCCTACAGACCAAGATCATGGAAGAGCAGGCGGCGGTGATGCTCTCAAGACAACAGGCTGCGGCGATGCCCTCCAAACAGCAAGAGCAGGAATCTCCTTCCGGTGAGTTCTCCTCCGGACCTTTCTAGGTTTGATCATACTTCACAACCGTAGTATTGACTCTTTACAGTGACAGCTGCAGGTTTTCCGAAATTTGGTCGACTCCCTATTGAGATCCGGAGACTTATTTGGAAAATGGCACTGCCAGGCAGTCGCGTTCTCGAGCAGGTGGACGGAGAAGCGGTGTATCCCGAGCTCCGCAAAGGATACAGACCTCCAGTAATCCGAGCCGTCTGCAAAGAAGCCTGGGAGGTTACCGAAGAGAATGGGCTATTCGTCTACGGTCCGGAACTCACTGCGTCTGGGGGAACCTGGCTCAACCCGAAGCAGGACGTATTCGTCATCCGTGATCCCGGAGCTATCTGCCCGCTGGGACCGCTTCAGGACTGTCGTCTTGAAATCATCGCCGTTGACCGCCGATACTTTGAACAAGACGGAAGTTTCGAACGTGTCTTGGATTGTGCGCTAGAAGCTTACGGCTGCCGAAAGGTCAACGTCCTCTTGCGGACAGCCCCAAATCTAAGACACAAGAAGGGAGTAGCGCCGAAGCTGTTCAGCCTTCAACCCGAAGATGTGATCTGGTCAGTTTACGCAGATGACAAGCCACACGAACTCTATGTCGAGGACGAAATCACGTGGGAGGATTTCAAGGATGTGATACAAGATAGTTGGAATGATATGATTCGTAAAAGCGGAAGAAGTGATATAATCATGGAGTATGGCGGCGTACCTATCATCGAGGGAATGGAGCTGATCATGTGCAAAGAGGAGGAGACACCTTATGGCTTCTGAGTAGTGATATAGAGACAAAGAGAATTTCATGGGCAAAACAGCAGGGTCTCATAGCCTACATCAATACTCACGGTATTTCTCACTGAACAGAAGGGATGTCTCGGTGGGATTCATCGGAGTTACTTGTAAGCTTCCAATCCAACAGTAATTAGCTTCAAATCGAAGCTTACTTCTGCTTCGATTCCGTCGATAAATTCATGTAGAGAGATAGAAGCTGGGCCAACAAAATTGAGTAGCTTGGCGATTACAACCACACACGTTGGAAACTTGAAGGCAAGTCTGAACATCTCTTGGGTTTTGACCCTGAAATAGGACTCAGTATATCTATACTGAAGGTCGTTTCTCGGCACTATGTTGCTGGTACTCGGTGTATAGAGCCCAGTGGCTTTCTTCTTCAAGCGATACTTTCGAATTGTTTGTAAGCATTGAGCCTACGAATAGTACCTGAGGCCATGTTAGACGCAGGTGAGGTGACATTAGCGGCTCTTAAGCATTGAGAATACGACCTATGTGCCTAGCAGTAGATGTCTGGATACTGGCTGTCCTGGAAACCAGTGGAGACATCGAATTAAGAAATTGGGCTGGTTCGTGACGTCGCTCGTGGACCTTGGCTCTCAGAGCGATTGCAATGCCGTTTCCCGATCTGCTAATGTAAAGTTTTCATGTACCGGCTGCGCTCCGTGAACTGCGCCAAATTGATTGTCTGGAAAACTACACCCAGATTCCCAGGACCAAAGGGAGGTTTTGATCGTGTGTCACAAACACCTATGTTCAGCCTTTTGGTTCTTTGTAATTTTAGGTCAGATACCCAATCTAGCACGCTTAGGCCAAACAGAACCAGAGACGAGGCTATTCATAGTCTCATAGAGGTAGGGAGAGTGGCAGTTTGCGTTTCTGATCCTCATTTGTTTGGTCATGGTGGACAATGCTCACGTGTTCGCATCGAACGATTCGATCTTGGGAATGGCAGCCTTGCATACGATGGTCCTTGGGATACTGAAAGAGTTCAAAGCATTGGCTGCTGAGAAAATGAAGAGAAACCAATGCGTGAGCCTGTAATTTCCTAGTTCGGGGCAATCCGAAAATCCCCATGTCTTGTCAGTCTAGGCGCCTCTCCCTTTGATATGTTTACCGTCTGTTGAACTAATAACACGACACAAGCAGCTGATATAAGAGTTTTGATTCCGTCCTCTGCCAGAAACACCTGAGAGTTATCAGTCAGCTCAACATTCGTTCCAGTCATCTTCTCTCCTACGGTTCCTCCCCCCAAATCACTGTCACCATCATTCTTTTCCATATCTCTTCCAAAGTCAACATGTTCGCGAACACCCTCACTCTTTGCCTTGCACTCATACCCTTGGCTGCAAGCCTCGTAGCTGGAGAAGCCGCGTTCTACGGAACAATTCCAGTCAGCGAGGTCCAAAGCCTGTCTTCGACCAAAGGTGCTGCAGCTTCATGGACCACCTCCTTCATCGTCCCTCGCTCCACCAGCAAGCCCGCAGGTCCCTCCCTCGACAACCCAGTCTGATACGCCCAAGAGACCTTTGGCCAGATTCCTCCCCTCGAGAAGAGAATCGACGTCGCCATGAACCAGCAGCCGAGAAACTGCAACAAGGAATCCGACTTCAACCCGCACCCGCCCATCCACTCCGACAAGCAGCTCAAAGGCGCAGACTACTTTTGCAACAACTACGCTGGCTTCATGGAGTCGGGCATGAAGTCCCTTCGCGTAGAGTGGCATGATGAGTTTCAGGGTCGTCACCAGTACAAGGTTTCTTGGGCTGAGGGGTGTGTCGCCGACGGAGACAGGCAGCATGTTAAATACCCTAATGGTCTCTCGAACACCAACCCGAGCTGCAACGATTTGATGAGGGATAATTACCTGCAATGTGAGTCTTTGGCATCATCTGCCTTGTCGATTACCTCTGATGAAGAGATGTTGTTGCTGATACGGTACTGCTCTAGGTAACAACGGTGGCGTCGGAGGTAGAGTCCAGGTGGGATGCCTCGTCTACGCTTACAACGGAGGAACCGTCGCAGGGAGGGATTATGAATCCATTGGACTGTGGTGAGCGGTTGATCAAAGTCACTGATGATCCCGCCGGGACTTGTAGTACGCGAGTGGAACAGAAGCGCAGCCCTTCACTTCCACTTTGATGCAAAGACACTCTCGAAGTTCTCTGTCAACTATTCTTTTAGAAGCACACAATTAGATAGAATTATCACCCCAATAAACCTGAAACCTAACTTTGCGCAGAGGAAGAAGATTAATATGGAAATACTAGGCAAAGGAAACATTCCAGAAAACAGAGCTACAGCAAACGGCTTCCATGGTTGATTACCCTGAGACTGGGTTTCTGAGTGAGCGGGGTTCACTAAACATGCGCTTTGAGAGCAAGCAAATTGTTTACCAAAAAAAAAAAAGAAAAGCTAGTCACATGATTGAGATTCAACCTCAGTAAGAGAAAATCAACCAGGACTCTCGCAAGTTCGCGATGAGTTGAGGGGCAGAGAGATGGGTAAGCGGACGTTGAACAATGGCGATTTGTTTGCCCTGAACCGTGCCTCACGGGAAGGCGTGGCTAGTCCTAAAAGGGCATGGTGCGGGGTAAGAGAGCTAAGGACCTTTGGAGGTTGGTCGGCCTGCCAGGCACTCATGCCAATGCGTCGTCGCGGGGCAGCTTTCTTCTGAGTTCCATCATCAACATCAACCTTCACATCCTACCTACCGACACGAACCCTACAGTCTTTGGAGCCGCAAAGATGTCTACGGTTCACATCAAGTCGGCAGCGGAGTTTCAGAAACTCCTGTCGAGCTCCCGTATCGTCGTTGCTGACTGTGAGTACTACCTGACCGCCGAGGTCACTGCACCCCTGCCTCTCCATCCTGGATGACGCCAGTGAGGCCATGGACGGCCGCGACAGCCCCAACGCGCTGTGGTGGTGGCGGCTTCATTGCTTCTCGTTATCGCGCCTGCGACGCTTCTATCGCTTCATTTAGGAGACCATTGAGCTGCTCGCGACATGCACACACGATTGACTTGACGTGCTGACAAATGGATTCCAGTCTACGCCGACTGGTGCGGTCCCTGCAAAGCCATCGCACCCCTCTACGAGCAGCTTTCCTCGTCCCTGTCCCGTAAGAATGTCGTCACCTTTGTCAAGATCGATGTCGAGTCCCAGAAGGAGATCGCCTCCGCCTACAGCGTTACTTCTCTCCCGACTTTCATGATCTTCCGCGAAGGCAAGATCATTGAGAAGGTCCAGGGCGCCGACCCCCGCAAGCTCCAAGAAGTGGTCAAGAGGCTGGCGAAGGAGGTTTCCGAGGGCGGTTCGGGCTCTGGCGAGGCGTCTGGCAGCTCAAGCGGCGGCAACTGGAGAGGCGCAGAGTTCCCTCGTGGCTACGGCGACGTTACTGGTCAGATCGAGCCCAAGGGCTGCGAGCTGCTGAACGCCGACGAGGACTTTGGTCCTGTTAAGGTCTTGTTCGACCCGTCCAAGCCCAGCGCGCTCGCGAAGAAGGAGGGCGTGAAGGATTGGGTTGAGAGTGGTGCCGATGACCAGCTCTTGCTGTTCATGCCATTCCAGTCCATGATCAAGCTGCACACCCTTCAGGTATGATTGGAGAATCGTTGTCAAGCACTGCGCCAGTTGCTAACCCATCATGCAGCTGACCTCTCTGCCTCCTACCGACGATGACGACGACGAGACTCCTATGCGCCCCAGCACCATTCACCTCTACACGAACAAGCCTCACAACCTCGACTTTAGCGAAGCCGACGATACCCCTCCCACGCAAGCCATCGAGCTCACGGAGAAGGACTGGAACGCTGACGGCACTGCCAACATTGGTCTCCGTTTCGTCAAGTTCCAGAACATCAACAGCTTGATCATCTACGTGACCAAGGGTGACGGCGACGGTGAAAAGGTGCGTCTCGACCGCGTGCGCCTCATCGGCGAGTCGGGCGAGAAGAGAGAAATGGGCAAGCTGGAGAAGATTGGCGATGAGGCTGGCGAATAGAGCGAGCCGGTGGGTCATTGAAAATCGGTCCGGTGAAGAGACAAGGAAGAGGAAGAAAAGTCTGCACTCAAGACCCCATGCGACGAGAATCATGAATAGAGCAATAGTCATAGACGCCTCCGGTAACAGTTTGTGCCAGAGGCTCAAAATCCACAACCACTGAATCACACACAGGCGGCATGGATACGCGCTGTTGAAGCTTGATTTGCCACGCAGAGTAGTGCATTCAGACGGTCATGCATGAGACGATGTTGGAGCGCGCGTGGTGCCCCGAATTAGGAAGCGTTCACGGGGATGCGACATGCTGCCTTGAGTTCAACCGCGAAGCAGAACATAGGTAACATAGCCGCATGATGCGCACTTCTCTCGTCTGAGTCGTCGCATTCACTTTGCGAATTTCCGCCAAAAAATATTTAGGCTTGAAGGTTGGGATATGTCCGGCCCATCGATCGCGACCCAACTCGCTACAAGAGCAAGAAAAGGATCTATGAAGGACGAGGCCGGCTGCAATTAAAATTCGATCTGGGGCACGATTGACGCCATGAATTCACCGACTTAGGAATTCCAGCAACAGGGGAAACTGTAACGAATCGTGCCAGCCGCACGAAGAAAAAAAAAGAAAAAAGAGAAGCCTTCGCAAGAACCGCGACCAAAAACTCTTTTTTATATCATGAGATGGGTCCCTGCACGTCCGCCCGGAGTGGGTCCGATACATTTGCACTAACGGTATCGGAGGAACCTTTTCGCGGAGGAACGGAAAATAGCCGCGGCAGGCTCCGCGGGCTGTGTGGGTGGTCGCGGCGTTCCGCTGGCTGACTGACTACGCTGGTTGCGGACGTGACTGTGACCCTGACGAGGTACCTTGATAAAGTAGCTTAGGTAAGAGAGGAAGGCCCCACTGGAGGTCCCGTCGTGTTGCCGGACCTGGTCAGTGCGCCTGAAGTCCACTCAAACGCCCGGTCCCCACAGTTTGCACTCAGTGTGCGACGAGCAGCATATCGGATTTGAGCCAACTAGATGACACCCACCCCAGTCGTCATCCAAAGTCCATCACAACAACTGCGAACGTCCAGCCAGCAACAAATGAAGACACCCTCTTTCTTCGTCTTACTCAAGCCATTGTGTGCGCCGAGCTTACTATCCTACTTTATGGATACTCGCCCGCTTCATCGAACGAAACAATGGGGGGATTCCGGCTTGCGCAACGCAATATGCTCCCCCCCAACAAGCCATGTCGACCAGGGCTGAAAGAAAGCTGCTACCATGCACGGTTCTAATCGTACTAGGCAAAGCCAAGTTGTGCCGAAGGGCGAGAGGAGGTCAAGGGGTGTCGTCCGCGCAGGGGGGCTATGTCCCAGGATACCTGGATACGACAGGTGATGAGCGCGATACTCCAAGTCTCCAGCCAAACGGTCACGCAACGTCGTCAAGTGCCCTATCAAGTCCCCTTCAGATTGATTGAGCCTGGGCCCGTGATGAGGCAGCGGAGACCCGACCTGAGGAGGTGCCAGGAGGCAACGCAATATGCTTAACCAACCTACCTTGTCCGCTTTCGTATCGTTCGCCCGATCCCAAAGCCTCAAGCAAACGACCTTTGAACCCCGTACCCACCCAATCGACCGAGCCCTTCGGAGCCCCTCCCTTCCCTCGTCGTCTGTCGCTCTCGGCAAGCTCCTTACCACGTCCGCCCCTCTTCCGATGCCACCACTTCCCCGAACTGGCCCCGGCCAACGTCTTGGCATGGCTAGCCGTCTGCCATCTCGTTGGAACCCTGCGGTCACCTTGCAGCGCCGTGGCAGTCCAGCGCCGTGCTATGCCGTGTCATGGTTCGAATGACGGCACACCGATGGTTCTAGTCTGTCTAATCTGGACCGCCCTCTTTCTCTCTCTCTGGCGCGCGCGCCCATGCAAGCTTGAGTTGCTAGCTACTCATTTGTCGCCAGCTTATGGCATCACGACTCGTCACCGGATTACGAGGGGTAAGCGTTCTCTAGTTGACCGCCAAATTTAGAATTCACGCCATGTTCAAATCGCGGGCTTCCGGCGACGGCGGATCGAGTTTCTCGCTACCTTAGTTTATCGGTGCGCTTTTTCGCAACTCCGCCTTCGCCAAACCGGCACCGGGGGACCCATTTTCACATATCGCTTTCGCCATCCTTAAGACCTTAAGAGACCCGAATATCGACGTGCATTCGCCCGCTCTGACATCGGTGCGTCATTAACTGCCGGCACGATTACCTGATGTGGCAGTCATGGCGGCCAATAGTCCATCTGTTGCGGCGGACCGGTCGTGACATCCCACGTTGCTTTTGCCCACTAACGACACCGCAGGGACGGTAGATGACCATACCTTACCTTAGTCTAGTCAAAACTGACAGCCATCAGATGATCCGGTCTAGCCCCAGTTTCACCAGTGTGATGGGGACTTTCCGGACGGCTCACAAAACCCAGCTTACATCCGCCGTTTGCAAGCAACAAGTCCGGTTGCGTTTCCTCACGTTTCGCTTTCTTCCCTGTCAAGAAGCTCCTTGAGTCGTCTCTCCTTCTTCCTTCGGATACGATTCAAACACATATCTCGCTCCGCTCCGAGCAGCCCCGTCTCATTGGTGTCGTCCCATCAGCAAACCTCATCAACCTGCGAAAGCTGCTAGTGCCAGGTCTCAAAGATAAACTCCCCTCACCCACACTACACCCCGGCACGATCCTCGAAACAAACTCGTACCCTCATCTATGCGAGATCTCTCGGGCCGCTAGTCGAAACGTTAAACGAGTGGGTATCGCGGTCCTATATTTCAACGCCAACCTCCCCGTCGGGGACGTTCGTCCCGTTCCATTGCGTGCCTGCTGGCTGCTGCGTGCCTACGAAGTATCTACCCGGCCGTTGCGTGTTGTGCGGTCGCTGTCCGAGTGGTTGGGTCACGTCGATCATTAAAGTTGTTGGCCCCCCCAGCCAGAGATCATCCGGCCTTAAAGAAGATCGACTGCCAGGTTTCCAAACCGCCCGCATTGTGTGTCTCTGAAGATCTCTTTGCTGCGATGCAACCCGGCCTCAGCGTCACACAGAGATCAATATGCCTTCAACATTATTTCCGTCCTTCTCGAAGGAGTTTTCGAGCCCCACAGTCACCCCCAGCGAGGCGTTCCCGATGATGAAGTTGCCAGTGGAGATCCGATTAATGATCTGGGAGTACGCTCTCCCGGAAGCGCGCGTGTACGAAGTCATGGACTCGCCAAATGCAAGCCAAAAAACGCCTGCGGCAGCCGGACTCATGTTCGCCAATGTTCGAGATGAACCACCACCAGCGCTGGGCGCGGTATGCCATGAGACGAGGGTGTATGTACTACAACGCTACAGACCTCTCGCTCTCTCGGCCACGACGAAATACGTCGACCTGTCGCGCGATATTTTGTTGCTCGAGCCGTACTTGCTGGTCAAGCGGTTACTGCGGACACTGCAGTTCTTCAGCCAGATCCCTCTTGTGCGAGACAACCTCAGTCGGCTTGCGTTTGGAACGTCATACGGACTCTACACTGGCATCTGCCACCCAGTGCTCAGTTGGAAAGTCTCAAAGTCCAATATGACGACGCTGCTTGCCCGTCTTGCAAAGTTCCCCAGATTGAGGAAGCTCGTATTCGTCGTCCACCAAGAGTTTCAGTTCGACTTTGACATTCGGCCTCCGTATGCTACATCTCACATGAACTACCCAGATCCGCAACGGCCCCAGCTGGTGCACCAGGGGTACCGCTTCAAATTCGACATTGAGTCACAGCTCAATTATACACAGCCGCGACACCCGCACTCTAATCAGTTTCTCTACTACCCGCTGGACGTCGACGACGACAAGGACGATTGTTTCGACAAGGATGATTTGGAAAACGAAGGCGACCTGTTCGAGTCGTGGCCCACGAACGACGACTGGCGGCGCTTCAGGCGGAGGTTCCAGAGATCTATCCATATCGTAGGGAAGGGTTCGCCGGGATGCCAACGACCAAAGGTCATGCCCAAGCTAGAAGGGGCGAGTCTATTATGGAAGTACAGCAAGGCACAGCATTACTGATGCACGTATTTGGGTTGGCGTTCTCTTGGGTGTGGAGTTTAGGGGCTTGCATGCATTATCTATACCCTCTTTAGATCTTGACTAGGAGTTTCATGGTTAGGCGCGATACAGCGGCATCTGGGCTTGCACAACCAGTCTCATCATATAGGCTGCATACAAAACAGATGAAAAAGTCACAATGTTCCAAACGCATTTGGGGGACCACAGTATTCTATTCATGTTCGATCCGCCTCTAGAGACAAACTGCATACAGTGTGATCCCAGGGAAGAAGGCTCAACACGAGTTCCTGTGATTGTCTATGCCTCCTTATCATTATCATCATGTCATTATCCGCACACCACCCTCCCACCTTCCCCTGCTCAAGCCTCACGCTCACTGCGATCCCGGCTAGAGTCCGAACCCGATACTCGCGATCAGGAAGGAGATTCCGGCGAAATTCGCCAACAGAGCCGCACTGAGCACCGGGTCTTCCTTCTTCTTCTCCTCCTCCTCCGCCTCCGCCCCCTCTATTTCCGCAGTCTCCGCTGCGGCCAATCCTCCGCACCGTCCGGCGGGAGCGGCAGGCGCAGCGGCAGTAGAGGCGGTGGCCTCCTCGCCGTCTGTGTCGGAACTCTCGCCACCCAGAGCCCACTGCTCGAAGTCCCAATTCACCGCCTCCAGCTCTTGCCGAATCTCCTCGTCGGCCTCGCTGTACTCCGAGTCCTCTTCACTTTCAGACTCAACGACGGAGGGGCAGAAGAGGCAGAGATGCTCCTCCGGAGTAATCTCACCCTCTACTTCATCCTCTTTCGCGGCGGTACTGACATCCAAAGACCACCGCTCCAACTCCTCCTCGAGATGAGGAGCCGCTACCGGTGCCGGTGTCTTCTGCGGCAGCGGCAGTATAGGCGGCGGGAGAACCAACTCCTCAATCTCCGCTTCGGCTGGAAGGCCTCCAACGTTGACGTTGCCCACATCAACAACCATGTCCGCACGTCTCTGGAACCCTCTCGCGGCCTCCATACCGTCTTCGAGGTACGAGAACCTCTTGATCCAGGGCTCATTACGGGTGAGGTGTTCTTCTTCGTGGTCGGCATAGTGGAAGCGGGAGCGGCGCGATTTGACGCGGGGGCTGCGGATGCCGTATTCTGCGAGAGTGCGGGCGTCTAGGTTGATGTCTTCGAAGGAGGTCCAGCCGATGTTGTTGCTGTGGTTGTGGCTGGGAGAGGGGGACAGATTACAGTCTATGCAGCCGGGTGTGGTGGGTGGCCAAGTAGAAGGGCCATTGGATCCTGAAATCGCGACGTCGGTTGCAGCAGAAGAGTGAGACTCTTCCTCCTCCGTTTCCTTCTCTCCGGGCTTGTCGGGAGCGTTTACCTGCTCGAATAGGGCCTTGGTGATGGCTTCGGCCCTGGAGGCTGATTGGAGCATGGTCTTGACTTGCTCTGTGTTGAGAGCATCGACTTCCTCGAGAGACTCATCGATCGTTTCGAGACTCATGGTAGTGAGTCTCGGACGAGTGGAGCGATCGTGCCAGACGTGAGGGTATCTCGCGAAGTAAGTACGGGTGGCGGCCATCTTTGATACTGATGGTATACGTGGTTGAATGCTTAGGTGTAAGGTGACTTGAGAGAGAGTGGCGAGTGTTAGTTGAAGCGATGATCAGAACTGCGAAGATGATGTATGGGATATGGGAGTATGGGACGTGAGATGGGATGGACGAAGACTGTTTAACAACTAGGAAAGAAGCCTGCTTCATATACCACACGTAGCTTACTACCGGAGATACCTCGTGTCTTTGAGCTTTTGCAGCTTTTGTTTTCTGTCGGAGATGCCTTCATTACCGGGCCATGATCCTCTCTGATCTGCGTTAGACTTTGGTCGTACCACGATTCTGCGCTCAATTAGAGTCCAGCGGAGATTGGACATGCCATACGGGTGTCTTTGGTCCATTTGACTCTAGGACGAACTGCGACGCTTCGGTTTGCGGCTTTGGCAATGGGTGACTTCTGACGGCTACATGATGACTCTTCTGTTCGGGATGTTAGGAGTCTCGGCCTCTAATTAGTTGCTTCAATACGACGTAGTCTACCGGGCCATGACCTAACGCTCACAAAAAAAAAAAGTAAGGAATGCTTCAAAGTACAGCTGGAAGATGTGTTCAGAAATATTTCTTAATTCATGCTTTTCCATGGGACCTCGAACTCAAGATGGCCAAAGGCGTGGCCGGGATGAAAGCCTATGTGTCAAAAGGGTTCAACTTCAATTGTCCATGGACCTGGTAGACTCGAACGTGATTCGGGATGGTCCGTTTCTCACTGTTATAAACGCTAAGTTAGTCCGCTCTATGTTCTCAGACCACGACGGCCGATCATAAGAAAGTTAAACACCCGTATAGATTCCAGTCATACACCAACTGCCCACACGGCCTATCATCTGGAACAACCTTGAGGGCGAACGAAGGTTAGTCGTTCCATTGGACTTCAACTTGTGAGAAAAGAATGCAAAAAGCTCGGTTCCCCATAATAGGGAACCTACGAAAAATCCGAGGAGGCTCTTACCAGCCCCAGGTGTAACGATGCAAGGATTTTTACAAGAACAATACGGGACTCGAACCCGGGACCTATGAGTGCGGGGCTATTCCCATCTAAGTGACATTCCCCGCTACGTCACAGGCCTTGGTGACAGAATGACTTCCTTTTGATAATTATACAGGGCGGGTGGTGGGTGGTGTGCGTGAGGCCGGGCGGTGAGAGGTATGGGTGTCAAAGGTGAATCATCAGGCAGACATCACACGGTTCACAGTCGTCGGTAGAAATTAGCCACGAGATACCATCAATTTCGTAAACTTGCTTTTTGAATGAGGACTAAGACTAGAGATGCCATACTATTTCTTCCAACCTTGGGAGATTCAAAGCCTGTGATGTAGTTCAACAGAACTGCCTTAGAGCTTCTTGTCAACCACATGAAGAACGTGATTTTGAGATCAACCAGGTTGGTCGGGCAAGCAGGTACCTAGGCAACAAAATAGCCATATATTTTTTACCTCCTCCAAGCCCTTGGAAAGAATACTTCGTCGGAGGATGTACCGATGTGTTTCTGTAAGGGTACGCCGAGATAGACAGCCAGACAGAGTAGCGCAGATGATAACAGTCGGTCGTTTTTCGTCGTCCGAAACCTGCTCGTGACGTGCAAGCCTCTCAAGTTTCCGAGATTCATTACAGTTGCCTTTTTTCAACCTCCATAGAGCCTGATATTGTCCCAGAGTGTCCTCGTAGTCGGGAACGTGTGTCATATTCTCAGAGGTTGTCCAATAAGAAAGCGAGGCTGCGCTCACTAGCCGCAGCTTTTGGGCGGTCTTCTCTGATTCCGTAGACTTCGACTCATTTGCTAAACTTCTCTGCCATGATCGATGCTACGCCGTCGCACCATCCTGTTGCCGCCTCGATCAGGAAGCCGATGTAAACTCCAGAAAAGTGGTAGGAGTGCCTAGAAAAGATGGTCGGCCAGGGCCCGGTGACGAACGAGTGGATCATTGCGATACCGTAGCCCAATATGCTGGCTGTCATGATGCCGGATGTGGTTCTCGGATCCTTTGGCCAATGGGCCAGGATAGCGATGTACGAGAGTGGGAATGCGATCATCGCGGAGACGCCGTAGATGACAAAGAGCACTTCCGACTCAAGTGTGCAGTGTTCGCTGCCAAAGACCGCCAAGACGACCCAGCTCGAGAAGTTGATGACGAGCGCCCATAACAATTGTTCGGCTCTCTCCTTGTTTGACTCAACTTGCTCGGTAGAGGATTTGGGTGGTTCCTTCGTTGTCCAGGGAGGTGGGTGGGAGAATGTGTTATGTCCCATGTTTGAAGAGCGACGTAGAGTCGTGGTGTATCGCTCTTGAGGCAGTAATACGGTCAAAGGGCCGATATGCAGCGCGAGTCCTGAGTCTAGCATTCACAAATTGGCAGTGAAGTGCTATGATTTTGGTGGACTTGGGTATATGAACAGCAGAACCTGCTTGAATATATAGTGCTGGCCGGAATGGTTGTGGAGAATGATGATATGGGCCATCCGTTTCTCACTCTACAAACGAGGGGAAATCCGCAATATATGTACGGGTAACCGCGATGGTCTCTTCCACAAACTTAATCCAGCCGCATCCCAACCTTGCGTGAGCCTGAAGGCGCCTGGAGGGTGGCGTCCAATCTTGAGATCTCAAAGGTTCTGAGCCGCGCTGGACGAAGAGGAAGGCTCAGCCTTGGCCGCATTCTCGCCGCCACCAGCACGAATCTTCCTCGGCAGAGGCTCCTCCTTCGAGTTCTTGAGGCCCTTGAGAACCAGCCCCATGAGCCCCGTCACCCCCTCAATCCAGAACCCGACGTGAAACCCACTCAGCAGACAGAACTCTCGCCCCAGAGTCTGCCCCACGCCAACAGTCCAGCTCGGGACCGTGATCCCGTAAATGAGCGTGGCAGTAAAGCCCAAAATACTGCTCAGGATTCGCTGATGGCCCGTACGGGGCCAGACACCGTACGTCATGACGAACACGCCAGCCCCTGTGATGAAGAAGAAGATCGTGGTGGGGATGGCGAGGAGGAGCTTGGCGTCTTCGTCGCCGGACGGTGATGGCCTCACGGAGAGGCTGCCGATTGTCGCTAGTGCTGCCAGGTTGAGAAAGTACCACGTTGCGAAATAGTTTTCGGACGGCATGGAGTCATCGACGTATTGTCTTGGTATAGTATTGGGAGTGTTTGGCTTCGTTTTCGGTGGTTCTGCGGTATTCGATTTAGGTCCATCGCTGCTTGCTACAGGCTCTCGTCGTGGAATTGGCGTTGGAGTTGAAGTCATGTTTCTAATCGAGCTCCCCACTTCGTTGTAAGTAAACGATTTTATTTTTATTTTTTTTTAGTTGTGCGCTGGCTAAAGCCTTCAAACGTAGGCTTCTATTTGAACCATAAATGTGTACTGAAGAAGTTGACGGTGGAGCACCAGGAGCATCTGGGTCAAAGTACTTATGTGAGATTCGGATGCGAAGCGGCAACTTCGTGCCGGCAACTTGGCTGGGCGGCCTCCGAATCCTTCATAAGCCGGGCGACGATGAAGCGGGACTTGGTCCTTGGTTGGACCCATTGACTTCATTTTGCCCAGAAGCCAAGTATGCGCCATTAGGCTGGATTGATTCGAATGGAGTATCCGACTTCTTTCGTCCAAGAAAAAATCAGCGTGATATGTTGCTGCGTAGGCGAATAGATCCAGCTAAGCCAATACAATCGGAAGCGACAGGAGCGGCGCAGCTTGACCAAGTAGCTTAGTAGCCCAAACACTGAGATCGCATAAGGAAACTGTAAATTTGAAAGGAAGAAAAGGGCCCGGAAAATGTCATTAACTGTCTAATACTTGCTAGTCTATCAAGATTGCGATTTGACCATGAAAATCTGTAAAACACGTCAGTCAACATCTACACCAGGAGCGTTCGAACAGCACCAAAACGTACCGCGTTCAATGCCTTGTCATCCATAGTCGCCATCCTCTTCTGCGCAATCCACCGTGATCTCACGGCGTGGTGGCCTCTAAGTACCGGCGTCGACGTACCACTAGCCGTCGGTGTCGTTGACGCTGATGATGCCGCCGCCGCCTTCTTCGCACGCTTCTCCTCCTTGCGACGCTTCTTCTCCTCTTTCCTCGCAGCCTTCTCGGCATCCGTCTCGCCCTTGCGCTTCTTCTTTGACGACTTGTCGTCTGACGATTCGTCTTCGTCGCTGTTGTCGGCGGCCTCCTTCTTGGCCTTTTTGCTCTTCTTCTTGTCCTTCTTCGCCTTCTTCTCTGCCGTCTCATCCTGGGTATCTTCGGAAGCATCCTCCTTGGCCGCAGACTTTGATTTACTGCGCTTCTTTTCCTTCTTCTCCTTCTTTTCTTCCTTCCTCCGCTTCTTTTTCGCCTTCTCGTCCTCAGATGAGGAGGAATCGTCTTCGCTCGACTCCTCGGCCTTGCGCTTCTTCGACTTTTTGCTCGATTCGGTAGCCGCGGGGGCGTCCTCCATCTTGACGTCGTCACTGTCGCTGTCGTCCTTCTCTTTCGCCTCGGCCGTGGGTTCCTCCTTGATCTTGTCGCCAACAAGGAATCCACCGCTGACGAAGCGCATGGGTCCAAACTTGTTGTCGCAGTACAGCGTGCTCTTCAGTGCCGTGCGAGCCTCCTGCTCCTTGGCAATGACTTCGGTGGACTTGCCGTTCAAGCGTCCAAGGAGGTCGGAGAAGACGTCCATGCCGGTGACCCTGTCATCCCTTGCCTGCTTGAAACCGAGACCGAGCATGTCGTCCTTGAGGGCGACGCGGATGAAGGAGGCATTGGCCGCGGTATGATGCACCGCGTGCGCGGCGTCCTTTGCACCGAGGTACTGGCCGGGTTCCCAACCCTGTGATCGCAGGATCTTCTGGCCAAAGGAGTCGAGGTCCTTGGTCCATTTCGTGTTGTTGGGATCCTTGCCGATCTTCCGGCGACTAGAAAATAAGATTTTCAGTTAGTTATTCAAAGAGGCGAGGAATATTCGCACGGAAACAGTGAGCCTCACGTCTTCGCCTGTGCCAGACCCATCTTTGCGTTGTGACGGGTGCCGACCGGTGGTGATGGAAAATGGGAATTTTCGAGATGCGATAAGAGATGCAGGCCAAAGCCATTATCGCAGAGAAAAAAATCTGGTGGGGTCCCTGGCGTGGAATGTGGCTTATCCCTGCAATCTGCAATCTACATCCGAGGTAGACCCGACCCACCGACACTCACCGAGTCGACCGAGGTGAAGCAGTCCAATATCGCCATTTCAACCCGCCGACGGTGGTTTACGATACGCACGCCCAAAACGATTGCTGTGCGCACTTTCTGAGGGTCTATTTCAGCATAAATGGCCATTTGGGGTATTCAGATCGTATATACAAGAAAAGGCTGCAAAATGACAAAAGAGTTCACCCCCCCGGTGCTGAACTGGGGGCTACATCTCTGGTGCACATGCTGGGAATCGAACCTTGACCCTAGCGAGGACGAGCCTACCGCCGAGACGACTCGCCCCTAACCATCCCGCCAAACGGGACTTTGACCTGACCTCACAAGCCTGTGAGGCGCCTGCCTCCGTTGGTGACAGGAATGGTCCTCGACCCCCCTATATGGGATCGAGCCTTCAATGTGTGGAACCGTGAACCATGGAAGGAAGCGATGGCCTACCATGGCAGTGCCATCTACATCCATCCACGGCCCTCGCTACCTTGCCCATCAAGCCTCCCACCCGTTTTCGAACCTTGAGGGTGAGCACATTGGCTGAGCAATTCTCGCACGCCCAAAACCCATAGCCACTGCCATACTGCCATCTGGTAACGGCACCAATTTCAACCAAATGTTGGCTTCTCCCCTCACCTCTCAATCTTCCAGCTGGCCCTGCACAGCCTTTTGCGACTTCGCCGACACTCTACGTGCAAGATCAGCACAGCGGTCAAGGTTTCCCTTCTTGTGAGACCGCAAGAACAATCTGGCATCGGCCCTGCTGACTACTAGTAGTAAGTTATTCCTTGCTCTATGCAGTATCTCCATATTTCTCCTGCGCTAAAATGCAGCAATGCGAATACATTACGAAAGGCCTCACGGCTTGAGCAACTGAAATATGCCGGTCTTAACCCCAGGCCTGTCTACGTTTCTACGCGGGTCCTCGGGAAACCAGATTCTCAGGCAAAAAAGGCTTAGAAGAGTCGAAATGATTTCTCTATTCCCCAACGCCAGATGAAGTATGCTCGGTTCGTTACTGTACACAACAACTATCGTCGCATGGATTCGCCCTATGATCCCTCTTTCTCCCTCTCTTGTCGGACGCTTATACAGTGAAGCCGAATCCCTTCATGCAAGCTCGGTACTGGTCGATCGTGGAAAGGCAGTCCTTGGACGGGTCGGCGGCGTTGGAGAAGAGCATGCACTCGTCGCGCTTGGCCTTCTCGTCCTTGCACACGCAGCAGGGCTACAACCGCGTTGGCTCGTCAGTATATATGTTCGCCGTGCTACAGTCGTCGAGCTACGTTCGGAGAGGTTCTTTGCGCACCTTGGGCTTGGAGGCTTCCTGGCCGGCAGCCGGCGCAGCGGCCGGGGTGGCGATTGAGGCTGTGGGCGAAGACTGTTAGCCATTGCGCGACATAAAATGATGAATCTTTTTCCTTACGTAGAGCAGCAGCTTGAGATGCCATTTTGAGAGCGAAATGAGTGTCGGGCTGTTCGGTGGGTGGTTTGCGACAAGATTTGGGATGGCGGAAAGGATGGATATTGAGGTGGTCATGATCGAACCACTTTTTTTTTTCGCTGACTGACCTCACCACAGCTGTCGCATTTGTCAGTCACTCTAATTTTCGGGAGACTTCGGCGCCATGACCCAATCACGCCTTTGAATAGTCACGTGTGTTGGTGCTCATCTCGCGCCTCGTCTTAATTCTTGAGTTTTCTTGTCTCAATCCAATGCATCTCACAGTCTCATGTATTTCCATGTACGGCGGCACAGCCTGCTCGGATTTCCTGAGATTTGAGGCGATGCATGCTGTAATGTCCAAAGAAATCAAGACGTCAACGAAATCCATCGCCGAGGTACCGTTTTGACGGGGACCGTTCCGTGTTGCGGGGCTCCGATTCCGCCGGAAAGTGGGGACATCGGACACCGGATCGTCACCAGATCAAGGGAGCTTTTCTGACGCTACTCACCGCTAGTGACTGCACCTACCTTAGTATGAGAGGCTGGAAGTTGTTCACATCGTTTGTTAGTATGTTAACAGGCTAGGAAGACAGCTGAAGCTGAAAATGATCTGCAGGTTGTCGGCATGAATTTACCCCGTTCTGACTTCCACCCAACGCCACATATGAATGGCAGGCTGGTAAATTGTTGGACTTGACTGAGGTTCCTCAGCTCTGAACTGAATAAATATGAACGTAGTTGTTCCCTTAGAAAACTTCACCAGAGTCTCGCCTTGCCGAGTAGTTACCTGGTACATTGAACTAGAAGCCGTAGCAATGTTGTCCATTGAGGAAATACTGGCTTTCGCCGAGCCCAACGCTGAGTTCACAGAGGTGATTCACAACACGAGCTCAACGCATCACAATGTTAACAATTCTCGCAGCTCCAACGGAAAAGCCCAATCAAGGTCGGCGCATGGAACAAGGACACAGACATCAAACAGATCCGAGGTATCATGGCCAAGGTCCTCGAGGCCAAGCTCGCCGCTAAACCCGACCCTTCTACTCTGTCCTACGTAGAAGAAGACGTCCACATCACCGTGAGAGATGGGGCGTCGATTGCCGTTCGCATCCACAAACCTAGAGTCGTCGCCGATGATGGCTGCCCGGTTCTGGTGGCGTTCCACGGTGGCGGGTTCGTCATTGGCGATTTGGAGGGCGTAGGACCCCTCTGCCAGCTCTTTACAACACTCGGTGGCATTGCGGTGAATGTGGACTATCGTTTGGCTCCAGAGCACCCTTTTCCTGTCCCCGTGCAGGATTGCTTCGATGTTGTGAAATGGGTAGACCTCACCCAGCGAGCAAGGCCTGACTGATACCTACAAATGAGACTAACAGGGGGACAGACCGTCGATAACGCGAAATCCCTTGGAATCAACCTATCAAAAGGCTTTCTCGTCGGCGGCGAGAGCGCAGGCGCCGACTTGGCGTTGGGTGTAACTCGCCTTAGGCTCGACGAGAAACAGGCGCCAAAGCTGACGGGCATATTCTCGTCCATTTCCGGAGCTGTCACCGAAGACACCGTTCCCGAAACGTGCCGAGACCGTTTCTTGAGCCTGAAACAGAATGCCAGTGCCCCAGTTGTGACTGCAGACTCGATTGAGTTCATCAGAGGTGAGAACCATTAAAGACGAGAAGCATTATAGAGGCTCAGAGTAACATCGTGTAAGATATGTACAAGCCGGACCCGAGAAGTCCGCTGGCGTACCCTGTTGTCTCGCCGGACCTGACTGGCTTCCCGAGAACGTACTTCCAGGCTTGCGGGCTGGATCCGGTGCGAGACTGCACGCTTATCATGGAGCAGGTTTGGAGGGATGCGGGGATACCAACCAAGCTGGATGTCTATCCTGGTCTACCTCATGGCTTTTGGGCACTGTTCCCTCAAGCAGACTTCAGCAAGAAACACCAAAGAGATCAAAAGGCCGGTCTGGAATGGTTGTTGCAAAAGAACCTGGCATAAGGTAGTTGACTTACACGGGGCACCAGCAGGACTTGGTTCCCACACAATCCCCTTCCCAAATCATAGCCTTTCCACAAATAGTCAAAGTCTGGATCGAGAAAGTCTCCTGATCACCTTAAGTAAATTGAGCACAAGCCGCGCCAATTAATGCCGTTGCAACGAAAACGCGTCGTTGAGAAAAAGAAAGTTTAAATGGCGATAGGGGCGCCATCCCTGGAAATGTAGTGGCCTTGACCCCTGTAAGCTCCAAATTCGAGTGGATCCACCCCTGCAACCTCTCAACGCGCTCCCGCCCGGCAGACGCGACGACCCAAATGGAAGGAAATCTGGGGGTGGTCGCCTCCAATTGACATCACCAACGACGTTCAAACCTCCCGTCTACCATTTCGCATCGTCTCCCAATACCCCAAAAGAGGCCGCCAGCTCCCACGAGCACCTCTGGTCCAACATGGCGCCCAAATCAAAACCGCCCGAAAAGAAGCAGCAGTCGCTCACAAACTTCTTCCAGCCAAAGACCGTCAATGGCCTCGCCGCTGCCTTCCAAAAGTCACAGTCCGAAGCACGAACGAGCCCGCCCGAGTCGCCGGATTCCTCGCGCAAGCGTCCCCTGGAGGAGGACACGGATAGGGGCAATAATGGGCCGGATAAGAACACCAAGAGAGCAAAGAGTGACCACGAGGGCAAGGCCAATGCTGCGGATCAGGGCAAGAGCTCCTTCTTCACATCAGGAGACAAGCCGGCCGCCGAGTCTGAGCCCAAGTCCAAGGCATCTGCAGTTTCCGCTAGGACGGGACGGTTTGCCTACAGCCAGAATTCAGACGTGAACGAGGAGGAGGACGAAGAGGACCAAGACCCGTCCACGAAGCAACGCAAGGAGGAGCTACACAAGAAGTTTGTCAAGAAGCTGGGCCATCCGGACAGCATGCTATGGCGGCGCCGGAGGGAAGACGACAACGAAGCTGCCGAGGGGGAGGAGGGTGAAGGAGAAGAAGACGAAGACGAAGCCCCGCCGCCGCCCAAGGCGAAGAAGGGTGGTGCGAGAGCGAACAAGAAGCTCACTCCCATGGAGATCCAGTTCCTAGACATCAAGCGGAAACATCTGGATACAGTCCTTATTGTAGAGGTGGGCTACAAGTTCCGATTCTTTGGCGAAGATGCCCGTATTGCCGCCAAAGAGCTCAGCATCGTGTGCATACCTGGCAAGTACCGCTATGATGAGCATCCCTCTGAAGCACATCTGGAAAAGTTCGCCTCTGCGAGCATTCCGGTACATCGTCTGCCCGTTCATGCCAAGCGCCTCGTTGCTGCTGGTCACAAGGTCGGCGTGGTCCGCCAGATCGAAACAGCCGCGTTGAAGAAGGCCGGCGACAACCGCAACGCCCCGTTTGTCCGGAAGTTGACCAATGTCTACACAAAAGGCACCTACATTGACGAGAATGGTGAACTCGAAACAGGTGGTGACGGCGGCGCCCCTTCGGGTGGTTATCTGCTCTGTATCACGGAAACTCCCACCAAGGGGCAGGGCACCGACGAGAAGGTCGACGTCGGCATAGTAGCCGTACAACCGACCACGGGAGACATCATCTACGACACATTCGAAGACGGCTTCATGCGCAGCGAGATCGAGACTCGGCTGCTGCACATCTCGCCGTGCGAATTCGTCATCGTCGGCGACCTTACAAAAGGGTCGGACAAGCTCATCCAGCACCTCTCGGGGAGCAGCACAAACGTCTTTGGAGACCGCAGCCGCGTCGAGCGCGTTCCCCGAACAAAGACCATGGCCGCCGAGGCCTACTCCCATGTCACCCAATTCTACGCCGATAAGCTACAGCAGACCCCGGACGCCGACGCCTCCGCTCTCCTGGAGCGCATCCTCCACCTGCCCGAGCCCGTCACCATCTGCCTCTCGGCCATGATCAGCCACCTCAAGGAATACAGCCTCGAGCACGTGTTTGACCTCACGAAGAACTTCACCAGCTTCTCCGCACGTCAGCACATGCTCCTCAACGGAACGACCCTCGAGGCCCTTGAGGTCTACCGCAACGCCACCGACCACTCGGAGCGCGGCTCCCTCTTCTGGGCCCTGGACAAGACCACCACCCGCTTCGGCCAGCGCCTCCTCCGCAAATGGGTCGGCCGGCCCCTACTCGACGTCGCCCGTCTCGAGGAGCGTGTCGCCGCCGTCCAGGAACTCGTTGACGAGCAATCCTCCGCAAAGGTCGACCGCCTAGAGACCCTCCTCGCCGGCACAAAGACGGATCTCGAGCGCAGCCTCATTCGCATCTACTACGGCAAATGCACCCGCCCTGAACTCCTATCCGTCCTTCAGACCCTCCAACGCATTGCCATGCAATACCCAACCGTCAAATCTGCCGAGGCGACGGGCTTCACCTCCCCCCTCATCGCCTCCGCCGTCCTCTCCCTCCCCCAAATCCTCGACCTCGTCGTCTCCCACCTCGACAAGATCAATCCCGAGGCCGCTCGCAAGGACGACAAGTACAACTTCTTCCGCGAATCAGAACAGACCGAAGACATTGAAGACCACAAGATGGGCATCGTCTCGGTCGAACAATCCCTCGACGAGCACCGCGCCGACGCCGCCGCCTCCCTCAAACGCAAGAAACCCGTCGACTACGTCACCGTCTCGGGTATCGAGTTCCTCATCGAGGTGCCCAACACGGACCTCAAATCCGTCCCGGCCTCGTGGGTCAAAATCTCGGGCACAAAGAAACTCTCCCGCTTCCACACACCCGCCGTCGTCCGCCTCATCGCCGAGCGCGACCAGCACCGCGAAGCCCTCGCCGCTGCCTGCGACGCTGCCTTCTCCGCCCTCCTTTGCACAATAGCAGACGCCTACCAACCCCTCCGCGACGCCGTGTCCTCCCTCGCAACCCTCGACTGTCTCCTCTCTCTCTCACGCGTCGCCGCTCTCCCGGGCTACAGCAAACCAACCTTCCTCCCCTCCACCACGAACAAACCCACAATCTCCATCGCCCAAGGCCGCCACCCCATCGCAGAACACACCCTCTCAGACCCCTACATCCCTTTCACCACAACCCTCGCCTCCCCTTCCCCGCTAGCCCACCTCATCACGGGCCCCAACATGGGCGGCAAATCCTCCTTCGTCCGCGCCGTCGCCCTCCTCGTCCTCCTCGCCCAGATAGGCTCCTTCGTCCCCGCCGACGCGTTATCACTAACCCTCACCGACGCAATCCACGTCCGTATGGGCGCCCGCGACAACCTTGCCGCCGGCGAATCGACCTTCATGGTCGAGGTCACGGAGACGGCACGCATCCTACGCGCCGCCACCCCGCGCTCCCTCGTCATCCTCGACGAGCTGGGCAGAGGCACCTCCACCCACGACGGCGCCGCCATCGCTCACGCCGTGCTCGACCACGTCGTCCGCGAGAATAGGTGTCTCACCCTCTTCATCACCCACTACCAGAACCTCGCCCGCCTGGCGGAGGGCATCGGCGAAGGCCTCGTCAAGAACGTCCACATGCGCTTCACCGCCACTCGCAGAGCCGGGACCGAGGAAGGCGACGTCGATGCGGAGGATGATGAGGCAGGTGCCGATGAAGAGATTACGTTCCTGTACGAAGTTGGAGAGGGTGTTGCTCACAGGTCATATGGACTCAATGTGGCTCGTCTGGCCCGCATACCCCGCAAGGTCATCGATGTTGCCTCGCAGAGGTCGCGCGAGATGGAGCAGGACGTAAAGGTCCGGAGGTTAAGGGGCACCGCTCGTCTTCTCGCCGAAGTACTCGAGACAAATCCCGACCAGCTTGATCATTTGGTCTCAAACATTGAGCAATTGTAAACAAGCACATCACGGACAATTAAAAGTAACCATCTGTACTATGAATCCTTGTGTTATTTCTCGAAAGTGCGTCTGGTGTGCCTAGTTGACGCGGTATGACTGCGAAAGACCGAAAAGTGCGTTATCTATAGCCTCCTTTGCCTCCCGAAACAAAAGAAAAGTTGATGGGTAAAGTCCTAGAAACCTGGCGGGGCTCTTTGCAGTGCCACCGCGTATGGATGTTCCGCCACATTCCCCATGATTTCTTGCTTGCAAGTATCAAGCAAGCCTAGCAGCATGTGTCCTATTCTCGCCCTCCTAACTACCCTGTGTTCCACCCCGACGCCATTGAGCGAGTATCCGCAAGCGAGTTAGTCGTTCCTAGAGGAAAGCTCGCCACACGTCGCCCCAATCTCAAAAGTGGTCTGGTGATGTAAAGGAACGCAGGAGAAGATTGCGTATCTACTCGAACAACTGTGGAGTATCAGTACTGCCGAATTCCGTCTTCGCCAGAAAATCAGACTTACTTGAAAAGAAAGAAATTGAAGAACGAAGCTCAGATAAAGAGTCTTTTGAAACCCCAGATCCGCATACCCAACTTTCCCGCCGTGGTGGCTTATGATGAACCCATATCACCAACGGGAACGTTATCGAGTTGCGCAACTAGGCCCCATGTCCATTCTGGTACACGCCCGAGCCCTGAGCGTGGTCATGGTGGCCGGTGCCGAATGTGTTCATCATGGGCATCTGCTGAGAAAACATCATCTGCTGATGGTTGTGATTGGCATTGATGGGGTTGAAGCCATGGTGGGCGGCGCGCAACATCGGGTTACCCCAGACCTGGTTGAGGTGATACATGTCAGGCATCGCGTATCCGTTGTAGATGTTGGGGTCCATATTGATGGCAGTGCTCATTCCGGCCTGGTTCAAGTGGGTGTTGTTGACACCATAGAAGTCAGCGCTGGTCATCTTGTGTTCCTGTACACCATTGTTATTTTCCTTTCCTGTGAACGTTCGACGTGAAAGCTGCTTTGCAGCCGGAGTAGGAGAGGCCATGCTCAGATTCGAGTTCGCGTTCATCGACCGGAGGGGCATACGATTGCGGACGTCGAATCTGCGCACATAGGGGTTAATACACAACATTACTAACATGATGAGAGCTTTCGGGGATGGACCTAGGCTCATCCTTGACCGCAGTCGAAACCTTGGTGCCTATAATCGGAGTCAGTGGGTGGGCAGGAAGACGGATGTAGTACAGGAACTTACCGGCACCGCTGCCACCTTGGAATACGTCGGGAACGTGGCCAGTAACGGTGAAGAACCTCTCGTTAGGACCCTGGTCGGGGCCTCCCACTTCCTTGTGAGATTCATCAAGATCGACCATCCCAGCATAGCCGAGAGTATCGCTGTCACCATCGGCGGTGCTAGCGATGTCGCTCGTGACATCGAACTTCTCCGAGAGAGACTCGCTGTCGAGCTCCGAGATTTCTTCCTGCTTGTAGAAGCCATTCTGAAACTGCATAGCCAAAGCAGAAGATGCACGGTGAGCGGCTTCGTCAGCGAGCTCCTCCTTGACAACAACTCCCGAGGCATTGCCATCGTCCTCTGCGGCACCGCTACGTCTCTGACGACGTCTAGACTTCTTGACAACCTGTTTGAGCGGTTAAAGTGATTAGCCAATTACTTCTCTGCCTCGTGGCATATGCTTTGACTAACCGGACTTCCCTCGACGGAAGGTGGATCATAGACATCACGAGCTCTCTCGAACTCCAAGTCCAGATTGGCCACAATCTCCAAGGTGGTGATCGCCTGAGACGAAAGCTCCATCTTTCGAAGCACAGAGGCGTCCTTGCGCTGGTTGCGCTGCTTCTTCTGGTCAGGGGTGGCGGCATCAAAGATACCCATGCCCGGCCAAACAGTTCCCTTGAGTCGAGCAGACTCCAAGTCGTCGGGACCCCACTCAATGGCATCATCGGTGGGAGTCGAGGCCGAGGCCAAATCATCGTTGTCACCGTAGTATGTGATGGCCTGCTGCTGGCCAAGAAGTCGACCGGTGGGAGGAGGCGTGAACATGGAGACATCAGCCTCACGCTTGACAAGGGTCGAACGAGCCTTCTTTCTCTTGAGAGTCTGTCACAGTCAGCACATGAAAAGTCTTTGCTCGAGAGGGTGCCTACTTGAGAAGTTCCCTGTCCAGGTCGCGAGATGCCTCTCGCCTTCTCATCCTTGGCCTTGAGGCGCTCTGCAAGCATACGCTCGATACCATAGTCCTTGTACCACTTATCGTAGGTGGTAACTTTCTCTGCGGCGGCGAGATCCTGAGTGGCGCGGATTCTCACATCGTTGTGAGTCTGAAGGTGGCCCTTGGAACTGAGGTGGGTCAGGAGATGGGAGAGGTCGGAGAAGCGCGGGGTGTTCGTGCAGACAAGGCAGACGAGGGGAATTCCAGGACTGCCCGAGGGCTTGGGGTCGTCGGGTGGGTTCTTGGAGCCAGGGGTCTTGCCGCTGGTCTTGACAATGGACGACTTCTCAATCTTGATAGGCTTGAGCTGCTTGGTCTTGGGTGCTTTGAGGATTTTGACCGGCATGACATCGTCGGCCTCGTGGGCTGCAACGGCGGCCATGTTCTGTTCAGAGTCAGCATTTGTAGCCCCTAGTTAATGCATGAAGCCAGTCGTTACTGACTAGCCGTCTTTCCATGGTCTAAACAGAGCGAGTGGGATGGAAGACAGGCTTGTTTGCTCGTAGTAACCAAAACACAAAACGAGGGGAGGAAGAGAACGACGGATATTTCGAATATCAGCAGACAGAGAAAGGGCAGCACCCAGTAATGAAAGCCAAGGAGTGAAGTCGAAATGCTCAGTGCAAATGGGAGGTGACAGTGGAAGCAAAGGGTGGCTGTGATGGGAGGAGGAATGTCGATGATTGAGGACATCCGACGAAAGAACGGATGTATCGACAACGACTGATGTACCATCCAAGAGGGTGGGCATAGACTCCAGATAGGAGAAGGGATGTACTCACGGCTTGAGCAGCAAGAGCTGCCTGACGTCTGGGAGCCATTTCGGAAAGACGGGAAGAATGATGTTATCCATAGTAACAACAAGCCTGCCGTCCCAAAATGAACGGAGAAGGTACGCTGGTGTGAGATCGAAATCTGGCAAGAGGTGGTTCTTGAGGTTTAGGTACTCTTTCCTGCGAAATGAATTCGTCAGTGACAGAAACTTCAGAAATGATGGAAGCTATGATATCGGCGCTTTCTCAACAGATATGAAACCTGTGGAAAGAGCAGAGGCAAGTCCCGGTCTTGTCACCTGACGGAAAGGGGCAATGTCGCTTTGAGGAAGGCACCGGCAATTCGGACCCTCAAGGCCCCGGCCTGAACATGTCGTCGCCGACCAACTGCCCATTGGCCCGGGAGAACGGCGGCAATTTAATGCTGAGACTCCCGTCCGATTTGTGACCCCGATCCTTTCGCAAAGGACAAGCCTCACTCGATGGATGGGGGTGAATGACTTACCAAAGTACCACGGATTGAGCTCAAGTTGAGAGGTCAGCTGTTGATGCTGAAGACCACGGGGAAGAGACGGGTTATTGTGTGTTTTTTGGATCTTATGAGACAGGCTTCGTCAATAAGGGATTCTCTCCAAGAACTTGTGGCTTTTCAGGTAATGGCTCACTGTGTGTCCTGAATACAGCCAAAAGACTCTTGGAGTGGCGTATGCTGCTGAATTGCTGCTCTGGCAGATAGATCGTATCACCAATCCAAGGAACTAGATTGCTTCTGTATTGAAAAGTAAGTAAGAGTAGACCAAGGCTGTCGATGTGTTTGTAGAGGAAAGGAGGAAGAGTTTGAGTTCCAGAGAAGAGAATGGAGAAGAGAAGAGAAGAGCGAGTACAAGAAGCCCAGGGCTGTTGCCCTTCCTCAGCTATAGGACTAATAGGGCGAGAGCAGAGACTGGCTCCCGCCATTCCTGATTGAACAGAATTGGCGGGAACAGAGAGTAGCTCTCGCCATTATAAGTTGACAGGATAGGCGAGAGCAGGGAACAGCTCCCGCCGTCCCAAATCCAGAAGAACGGCAGAATCAGATCCTAGCTCTCGCCGTCTCAAGTCGAACAAGACTGGCGAGATCAGGAGCTGGTTCTCACCGTCTCATATCAAGCGGGGCCAGAGACTAGCTCTCGTCGTCCAAACTTGAACAAGACGGGCGGGATCAAAGACTGGCACTTGCCGTCTCAATTTGAACAAGACCGACGGGATCAGAGGCTGGCTCTCGTCGTCTGACTTTGAACAAGACTAGCACTCGCCGTCTCAAATTGAACAATACTAGCAAGATCAAAGACCAGCTCTCGCCATTCTGAATTGAACAGGACTGGCATGAAGCTTCTTGAACCAAGCATAGCTCCTGAAGCAGGAGCAGAGACGAGCACTCGCTGTTTCTGTATTGAAGAAAAGGGGCCAGATTTGGTGCACACTTGAAGGTGGCTCTCGCCTCTTGAACTCGACATAACATGAAGAAAAAGAAAACCAAGAAATGCGATTCAAGCACCCGCACTTGCAAATGCGCTTGAACGTACCACTCAGAATAGACAGTCTCTCCCAGACCGTAAAGAATCTTCTGATGCTCAAATGTAGAGACGGAAAGGGTACATGAATACGAGTAGTAGAACAGAAAACTTGCGATGGAGGCTTTGTTCGGACGAGGTATCTGAGAAATAAAAGGTCGGGACGATAAAAGCAGTGCGATGAAAGCGATCACTCGATGAAATTTAGACCGTGACGAGGATGACAGTCGATGGTGAAATTTGCTCAGGAGAACAAGAGCAGTGAAATCAAGATAAAAGACAATGGTTCGCAGCAGAAGGAGACAAAAGAGAGGGGTCAATCTGAAAAGTATTGTGTGAAGAGTAATACGGATGGGAACGTGAAAAATGAAGCCAAAGAAGGTGCTTGGTGATGATTTTGGCGTGAAAATAGAACAACACCACGTACCTAGTTCCCGAATTTCTTGAAGAAAA